GGGCTCGGGGCTCGCCTGAAGCGCGTGGTGTTGATCGCGACAGGTGTCGATACCGGCGCGTTATCCAGAAGGTGTGCGCGTGCGCGGCTGCACGCGCGAAAATATGAATCTTTGGTGCCGCTTTGGTGGACTGCACATAGGATTCCTGATACAGCTACGACATGCCAGCGGTCGTACCGCGGCATCAATTACGCTGCGGCACGATCGTTAGCAACATGATGCTTCAATGTACTATTGGACGGTACAAGCTACATTACCCTTCCTTTACATAAAAACAATTGCTACTTTAAAGAAGCGGATTGCAAGTTGTTTCAGCATAGAATTAGCTGCGACTTTCGGTTTGTCGGATGGTGAGCATTTTAAATGAAATGCCCATTTCCTTGGTCGCAAAGGTCGAACATTAGATATTTGAAAGCAATATAACTCAGAAACAGTTTATAACTATTTCACAAATAACTATTTCACATCATTTTGAGCAGAAAACATGAGCACACAAAGATCAGGCAAGGAAAAAGTTGTAATAGTTTACAGCATGGCATCGAAATAATGGTTACAATGTGCAGCGCATACATGGTTACAATGCAGCGCATTATCCTCTTGAGGGGAAACCATCTGAAACCTACACGCTCATAACAATACATTTTACCAACAGCTGCTTTCTGGCAACCAGGTAAGTCTCGCCTGAGCTGGGTATTCGAAGGGAAAGACCCATGGTTCCACTGGGGGCGTATCTGGTTCACGCAGACATACAGGGTGTTTTTATTTTGTTCTTTATATAACTTTACATATTTTACAAAAAAGGGAAGTGGCAGATATGTGGATGCCGTCTTTCGTTATATCTGTGGGGCTCGGTGGACAATGAATGGGTGAATAACCGTTTGCAATGTTCAATAATTAACCAAAATCTGTTAGTTAACTTGTTTATTAACGGCTTAATTGGCCATGGTGCAATTGCAGTTTTAAAAGGAGTTATAATTAAAGGGGTAATGCAACAATTTTTGTACTTTGCGCAAATACCACTTAGAACGGATCCCTGACGTTAATGACCTATGAAACACGCGTTCGTTTATCACCCGACGCAATAGAAGTCCCAGAATAAAATTAAAGAAAAACGAGCAGCGTCCTACCCCTCAACTCGCAGCCAGAACGAGCAGCCACGTGATCTAGAGCCGATTATATGCCGCCAATGTAGATCATAGCCACGCACTGGGGTTGGCAAAGCACAGGACACGCGCCGAGTTCCACACATTGGTATGTTTCGGCTCACTGTCGTCGTTGCAGCGATTGGACACGGGCCACTACCCGAATGCTTCTCGAGCTAGTAATTATTACGAGCCCAAATCAAGTGCCCACGCAATGCTCGGGTCCAATCTATGAACCGCATTCAAATATCGTCATTGGGGTCTACTGCGATCCCCACGTTACGTCATCAAATTTTGCAAAGGAAAGATTGAATGAAAAGGATCGCTTTTGCCCTTCAAATTACACCGCAACAAAGGAGTTTCTTGGCCAGTGGCGTTGCGTGTGGGTATCCTTGAGTCCCAGGTGTGCCAGTAAGGTCGTGTAAAGTGAAAAACATTCCAATTGAATAAAGGTTCACCGCCCCTTTAAAGGCATACACAATTTCGATAATTCGCGAAAAGGCGACGAGGCTCGCAAAGTTTATCGTAAAAATTTGCCTTTCTTCGCTTGATTCAGAAACCGCGTTATGAAAATAATACGTAGAATAGTGGACATAGTCGTCTTGATGTGTGGCGCCGGCGAGTCCACCGAAAGCACGCTGTCGAGTTAGTGACGAGGGGACAGAAACAACTGCGTCATTCTTCTAGGCATCGATATCAGCACAACCTCATTCGCGCTTTCAGCGTGCGGTTTTTTAATTAAGCGAAGGCAAAATTTTAGCGATGAATATCTCAGGACAGAACGAGCGGGTTGGTAGAGATAATTAAGCTTGAGGAAGAAAACGAGAAGGGACGGACAAACTCAACAAAAACGAGCGCCTTGTTGCTTTCGCTCAAAGCTCGAATTGTTTGTTCGCGGACTTTCTAAAGTGGGTTGGCCTTTAATAATGGCTCCCTTTGAAGCTGCAAAAATGTCAAAAAGGAAAAGATTTGAAAATACTGATTTTTTTTATGTGCCCTGTACCCTATTTCACCTTGTGTCGTACCGCAGGAAAGGCTACAAGCGCGAGCTCCTTGCTTTAGGGCACATCTCGGCGGCACAAGCTCTCGCGCACCAAGGGCAGCTGCCAACGCTATGAGCTCGCGCTTCTAGCCTTCGCTGCGGTACAACATGAGGTGAAACGGAGTGTATAAAATCGTGGTACCGACACGTGCACCGCTCAAAAAAAAAAAAAAAAAAAAAAAAAAAAAAAGATAAGCGGGCTGCGCGAGCCAAATAACTCAACTACAGCGCCGCTACGAACTGTCAATACACGCGCCCTCACGAGCTCCCGTTGCCCAGCCGCTTCGGTCCCAACCAGGGTGGTCCCAACACTACTCAAATATTCTAGTACACTGTACCCCGAGCACTGACCGGTCACAAACTCCCAAGCCTCACCGCTTCGCTCGACACCAACACGACAAACGACAACAATCTGCATCAAAACGCCCCAAAAGTGAAGGCGTTTGCTTCACTTTTGAAGTGAAGCAAACGCTTCACTTCAAAAGTGAAGCGTTTGCTTCACTTTACTCCCCGAGTACCAAAGTTCTGGCAGAGCAACACATGTGCCGAATCAACGTAAAATACGAAAGTGTAATAATAAAAAAAAAAAAAAAAAAGAGAGTTTTGTGTTGCTTTGCGGCGACGTTGAGCAGAACTACGCAATTTGTGCATCGACCGCGCGACTCGCAAGACACATCCACACGACGTCGCCGCCGCGTCTTGGCAATACCACCTAGAAGACAAGGCCTGCGCATGACGTTTCGTTAGTAGATCCCCGACCCGCCCCAAGCGGCAAACACCCCGAAGCTTGACGAGAGTACGGGCCGCGTCGCAACTACGTCGCATTCACTTGCGGCCGCAGCTGTGTGCGTGACTGCTGAGCGCGAGCTGATAGCCAGCTTCCAGTGCATTTGCGACGTGCACGCGAACGCTCCCTCGGCCAGGAGCGCGAGCTAGCACGCGCTCCTGGCTTTGAGACGCGCATTTCTAGCGCGCGCGCTCGTTCTGCGGTAGGGCGTTTCGAAGCAGCTAACCGGGGTATAAACAGCGCCCTCGAAAATGGCGTTCAGTGTCAGCGTCAAGCGTCCAATGAAGGGCTTTTCAGCCGTTCGCGCAGCAGTAAGGCAATTTCACTCATGCATTTGACGCTCCACGTGAACGTCTAACTTCGTCGTATGCTATTTCCAAGAGACACTCTTCGTGAGCATCTGTTTCATTATCTGTTACACAAACCACCGAAGCAGGCGATGGAGCAGACGATGTAGCAGACGATGTTGCTCATCCGGGCTAGCTAGGGGGCGCTGAGGGGATCTACTAGTAATGACGTTTAGAGGAGGAAACGCGCAGGCCTTGTGTTCTAGGTGGTATTGGTCTTGGTCGGTATCAAAGCGTGCGAAGGTACAGAGACACGGCATTTCGGCGTGCCAAGGAAGCTTTGACCACGCCGCGAGACCGGCGAAACTTGCTTTCGACGAGTTGTGCCCTTTCCCTACAACACTGCGCTTTCGTAAAATTTCCACGTGTTCTCAACGACAAGTCTCAAAGCTTACACAGGGTCTTAAAAAAACTTATACTGCGAATGAAGACTAACGAGTAGAAAACGTAGCTTCAGCACGCTGCCGCCAGCCTCTGCAACGCTAGCGAAAACGCGATTTCGCTGCGTGCAAGATGGCCGTCCGGTGGCCACATTCAGATCACTGGTGGAAAGTTGCAAAATGAGTGCTAAGCGAGAGGAAGAAATCTAAAAGAACTCATAATATATTTTATAATAATAAACATACTATAAAATGCTGCCTCGAATAAATTTAGAGTTCAGACATTTGTTCGGGTTTCGTTTAAAAACGAAGAAAGGTGCGTATCTGCCCAACTAAACGGAGAACTTCGGAAGAATATGCGTTTGCGCAGTGAACTGAATAGTAGCAAAGCTTGCTTGTTTTTTTGGTCGCGTTCCCTGCTTTAACACCGCTCTCTCTCTCCTCCTCCTCCTCCTCCTCCTCCTCCTCCTCCTCCTCCTCCTCCTCCCCCCCCCCCCCCCCCCCCCCCCCTACTTTGTAGATCAGGTCTCAAACACAGCGTCCGTACGCATCCCGTGACAGCGAGTCCCCGTTCCCCAAAGCTCTGCCGTTCACATGCCTCGAGCGCCACAAATCATAGTTTTATATCGTGGATTCGTTTCTGCTCGAAAAGGAGTTCTGCTCATATAACGTGTTCACACATTTCGCACAATTGCCTTCTCTTGGACGAAGTATTACTTCGCCTAAATATTTGCCTCTCGGCCCTTTCTAATTTATATCATCCGGAATGGTAATACCACTACTAGGCTACAAGTGTGAGCTCTTTGCTCAAGGAGGCACCTCGATTGCATGAACTCTTGCTTAGCTGGAGCAACTGCCAAAGAAAAAACTGGGATCCAGGGCTTCTAGCTGCTAGACAACGATACCTTTAAAATATAAGATTTTTCTTAAAATACTGCCATAAAAATCGTCGCGAAACCAAAAACCGATGTACAATGAGATTTTTTCTATGACTATTGAGACATTGTGCTCGTTTCCAGTCTATGGTAAACTGTCAGTACGTTCGTTTTATATACATTTTTACAACATCAGGTGTGTGGCCAAAGTAGTCTTATCAGCAAATGAAAGCTACAGTTGGCAAAACGGTGAGCTTACAAAAAGCAAGAGGTTCCTTTTCTAGCAAATCTCCGGGGTGTTGCTAGGACAGTCGGCTGCTTGCAACGTGAAACACCACTGCTGTTTGTTTGTTACTGCTGTCTTTGTCCCAAAATAGCAAAAGATCGCCTTTGCCCCCTCCGCTCCCAGGGAACCAGCCAAAAGACATCATCTTTGGACATCTTTATTGAGTACACTGTCTTACAAACGGTAGGAAGCCAGATGGGGGCGGCGGCACAAGGAACACGCACGGTTACTTTGGAGCAGCTGCACCCTTTCACAAAAACAACAGACCAATCTTTGCCCGAGGGGGTAAGGCGGGCCACGGGACACACTCCGCCACTCACCAGTGCCAACACCACCCCAAAGACAAGGCCTGCACATGATGTCATCATTAGTGGACCAGCCATAAGCGTTGAACACGCCGAAACACAATAAGAGTCGCTGCAAAGCGGCAGATGCCGACGCATTATGGCGTCATGCTTGTTTCAAGATGCCGCAAGACGCAAGCTAGGTGGCACTGCATATATTCACTAGTGATTACGTTTTGAAGCATGGTGTAAGGCACAAAAAACACCGAACACAAGGAAGACACACACACAGGCGCCTGTCTGTGTAACCCCTGGCCAAGCGCATGCGTGGACGTGAGGAAGGGGACAAGATATGTATTTCTTTCTTTTCTGCACTTTTCAAATATAGTGAGTAGCACCTGTGTGCGTGTCTTCTTTGTTGTGTCCGATGTTTTTAGCGCCTTATGCCATGCTTCATAACGTTCACCAACTAGCCCAACTACAAGTTTTTCTATAGTGCCGACGTTTGGGCAGGAGAAGCGCTGGCCTTGCCTTTTAGGCGGTATTGGCAGTACACACTGTGGTATAGGCTCTGCTTGCAGAGCCGGAGTATTGCGTTTCCTTTCAGCGCCAACTCCGTGTAGGCGGAGAAGCGGTCACGTGCGCCAAGCTGGATCCAACTTTCATGCGGGAAAGCGACCTTCCAGGCGCCGAGTTATGGGCGGAACGTGCTTCTCGCTTTGTATTTGCAAAATATGTACCCTACACTAAAATTGGACGAACAGGAAGGTCATAGAGAGAAACAGGGGAAAAATGACGAGACGACGGCGCACGCGTGGCAAGTCGCCACACTTTTTGCTCCGCACGCCGCCTCACAGTCACGCCATCCGCGCACCCGGTTCTCCCGCAGAAGCGATGGTCACTTCCCGCAGTGCAGCCTTGGATCCAACATGGCCACCGTGGGAGCACCATTGTAATACTCTGCTCCGCAAGTGGAGCATACACAGTTACTCTACGCCAACCACTCAAATAGAGAGGGGAAGCAAAAAGAATGAGTAGATGCCATAAACAGTTGTAAATAGTCTTTTGATCTTAAAATGATACACCATACAAACAAAAAAAAAAGAGGACTCACACACAGACAGAGGACGAAGCCTAGGGAAGGAACTTTTTCAAATTGCTGACCACTTTCGTTTGATTTGTTTCCAAGTGGCAATGAGAAGAGAAAAAAAACAAAGCGGCTGGGAACGGTTTGCATTCGCGAGTCTTATTGAAAGCCGAAAGCGCGCTTGCCGCAGGTGGCTCAGACACGAGGTGTTATAGCACACGAGTTGCACGAGCACAATGAGACTCTAAAAATCTTACGTCACAACCTCATGAAGTCAGGCTGGGTTCGGGCTGTGGTTTAATTTTTTCTTTCTTTTCGACTCGCCCAATCACAGGTTGAGCTGCTCGAAAATCCTGCCGTCGAAACAGCTGCTGCAGAGTACTACACACGGTGATATGTCCCTAGAGAGTAGACAGTGCAACGTGCCCTGTGTGTTGGGCACTTGTCCTTGATTATGTATCTCTCCCGTTTCGTTGGCGCTCTACGGGTAACTGCTTCGCTCGAGTCCCGCAGAAATAACCGAAAACGTGGCGGGTTGCACACTCGACCTTTCACGACCTCCACGAAAAATGTTGCTCAAGTATTTACAGGGGATGTGCAGAGCTATACGTAAACAAACCCAAGTCTAGCGAAAAATATTGAAATAATGATAAAATAGTAGGCGGAGCTCACGTTGTACGCTATCGTGTGTATATATGTACGAAACAGACTTCCAATGCTGCCCAAACATCGCTTGTAAAAATATCTACCTGGTAAGTTATAAAGGGCTCTCTGTTAATATAACAGAAGTACAAATCAGCCTCAAAGGACGCACACGAAGACGCCTCCGTCGCAACGCCACCCTGAAAACGTGCCGTTCTTCGAAAACCATACACACATGACGCACACGGCGGGAAACCACACGCAACCCACGTAAACGCAGTCTTCAAAAACGAGGGAGGGGAACGAAACCCAAGGCGTGAACTCTGCACCGTAACCCATTTGTACGCTGCTCACGTTTCTGTCAAAAAAGAGAAAAGAACGGATTTCTATGCCAGCCACTTTTTGTCGGAAAAACGGCGGCAGACATCGTATATTCGGCTTCAAGCACACGCACATTTGAGACGGGCAGGACTGCTGCCAGAATTAAAAACGGTGACCTAGATTGCGAGCGCGAGCTTGCGCTCTTTCCTTTGCAGACAAGACGGCCTCTTTTCCCTACCCTCAAGTTAGGGACCGAGCGAGAAGTCCTTCCGTCGTACCCTCGGAGATACGCCGTCGTTCGTTCGCCGTCGTCGCTATATACAAAAAGGCGCCGTCTCTCCCAACACAATATAAATAACATGATGCTACGATGCACGTATGATACAATGAAAGATGAAGGTAAAAAACCTATGGAGTGAAGGCGGGAAGTCGGATCCCCGTCCCTTGCTGCCTCCCACGACAATCCAAAGAACACACCGACTAAAACGCAAACGACACAGAAAAGTCTGGCGTCGTGGGAAAAGGATACAAAAAGAGAAAACGCTACGCCCACCCCCGCCGGAGCCCTACGTCAAGTCCTTCTGCACGGTGCGTATTGCCTCTGCGATGACGTCAAAGTCGAAGGGTAGAAACCGAACCGAACGTGCTCCAAACTCGGGGGTTCCTGCATTCCTGTTTCGAGTTGGTCCTGCTTATTAATTCTCGGAGCCACGCTAGGCCTCAAGAGGCGTCGTTGTACGCCGGTCTTTTTTTCTCTTCAACTTGAGCACGACGACCTGGGAGCACGTCTCGTCTGCGCGCGACGTGCCAACAGAGCACGTCTTGCATGCGCACGATGCGCTGGTAGAGTCTCGGCGGTCGTTCTCGGGAGGTCCGGCGTCCCACGAAAATGCAGATAAGGGTAACCTGAGTGACTACGGGAGGAGCCGGGCCTCCTGCTCCCAGCAAGTTTCCGCTCCGACGCTCCGACCGCTTTCAAAAAGCGCCGAAACGAATAGAGAGACGGCTGCGCTCGGAAAACGTTTCTACTTACGTCGGCCTGGAGGCCCCGACTCAGCAATCTTCGTTCGGCGCTAAACGCCGTACGACGTCTCCTCGAACTGCAGAGCGAGAACCATACCTTTCGTTACACGATGCGAGCTTCTTGTTATAGCTACCTCCGAGTTGTAGGGACCTCGTTATGGTGCGACTCCATTCATTTTTTTTTTCTGATCCGGTGTCAAAAAAGAAGAACTGATAATGCGCAATCGGCTCCACAGAGAAAGCAACGGGCACTCGTCACGTCGATGGAGGTGAGAGGCGTGGAGTTTGGACCTTGGCCCAAGGGGGTGGGGACTCAGTTTGCATAGTGGTCGAAGCTGCTCATGTACTCCAGCGCTGCCCGGTAACAGAACTGGTACTGGTCCTGAACAGAGACAGACAGAACAAAGGGTATGAGTGACAAGCATTTTCCTAACCATTTCTGCCATGCTTGGCTAGTTGAAGCATGCATTATTTGTAGTGTTTATATGTCTGCAAGAACATCTTGTACAAATCGTAAATATGACCCAAAATCTGTGCCTTCGTTGTTAGGTTGTGACTAAGGTTAAATATATACACTTTTTCTCAACATTTTTGACATTAGTTTTATATGCATAGTTCCCTGTTTGTGTTGTGGAGTGTACAGCTGTTGTCATCATTTTTGTTTGTATTATACCGGGCCTTTCTTCTAAAGATGCTATTCTCCTTGCCTCGTTTCAGTTTTGCCAGCACTGCCATCTTTGTAGGAGGTGGGAACTCTCTAAAGCTGCAGCACTGTAGCTTTCTTTCCAGCCCTTCCCACTCCACTGTGGTGGTAAACAAAATTTAATTCACCTCAATTCACCACAAAGAAATTGCCCCAAGAAATAACACAGGTGTCTGTCATCACCCTTTATGCATTTCAGTATAACAGCGCAAATCTTAGGCACCCGTTTCCGGCTTGAGCGGCGTCGCTGTCGGCGTAACCATGTGTTGCATATTGAGACGTTTCCCATAATGACGTCACACGTGACAAAGGTCGCTCTCGTGAAGGTCACGACGAAGGTCACGACCTTTGCAAGGCCTTCACGAGTGACGTCACGAGGGCCACTAGGGTCCCGAGTGATGCCAGGAGGCTCTCGAGTGACGTCATGAGGGAGGAGGAAGGAAGGGAGAGGAGGAAGGGAGGAGAATGAGAGGAAAAGGAGCAGAGGGGGAGGGGCATACCCTCCTCTCTGCACCTTCCCCTTTTCCTCAAGAGCTGCGCTCTAATTCGGCATTACACGAAATTGTAAACGTCTTCATTTTTCTTCTTGGCAAGCGTAAGAAAAGAAAAAAAGGAATGCCAGCTTCCACAATTTCTAAGCACACTGCATCTACAAGGGCTCGCTTGCTACTCAAGAAGGGAAGAACCGTCAAGGATGGTTCCGACATTTCCGCTCGAGTTTGATCCCCTCCGTTACACCGCTTGCGACTCCTTACGATGATATGACACACTGAAGCCAAATATCCGGTACCCCTGGCTCACTTATGGTCCGCATATATTTCTGAATTTTCTAAATTAAGCAACAATCTTTTACCATGAGCTTCGAATAATTTTGACAATCTTATAAGCAACTATTTCTCACGGATGTTGCATAAATTTGATCTTGCGGATACCACAGAACCTGCAATCTAGTTCAGGACAGAGGTGTCCCAAGTTCTACTTGCCCACAGGTGCCCCCCACATTTCAACTCTGCGCAATGCGTCGTACTGGAACGCGACGAGTTGTAACACAGTCGGTCGTAATGTAACGCACATGTCCGAGCCTGCCTTTAAAATTACGCCTAAAATGTTATCGAGAGGCTATCGCTATAAAACGCCTCTCCAACTGGTCTGTTTACGGTGTCCCAAAAAAGCTCACTCGATTTTGTCACACAACTTCAGCGCTCTATTGCCAGGACCGGGACATTCAATGGCATGACACTCTGACTTTTGCGACGTCATTCACTGCCCCTTCGGGACCACTTTTGGTGTGTAAGTGGAACGGGACACTAAAAACACCACTTGGTGACATGTTTGAGGCTACTAAAATTGATTTTGAAGATTCGACTAGCTGCGCTTTTGCGAGCGACAAGCGGGTTCGTTTTTAGTCAAGGAACGCTGGCGCAGCACCCCTGTGACGTCACGTTGCAGCGGAGCTGCAGTCGATCGGTTGCATTGCATACCGCAGCACCACGGTGACGTCACGTCATGGCCGCACAGCTGACATTCAGTGTTGCCATAATTCTAGCAGATGGTTTCGGCTTTGCCGTAGACGCCCGAAACCAAACTTTGAGCCGCAATATTTATATAACTACACGCAATATCGAAAAAGAAAATTATACCTCAAAATTCAGGGATACCGCCTGAGCTTAAAACAGTCGTAACCCCAAATAAAAAAACATGAACTGCAGTTGCCCTTTAAGGATTGCAACATGCTAGGACCGCAATGTGCAAGGACGTGAAAACGCACCTCTGTCTGGACCATTCCGGGACGCTGGGTGCGAAGTGTCCGCACCGTCTGGAACATGTCCATGACGCCTTCGCACTGCAGTCTCTCCAAGACGATGCTCAGCGAGATGAACATGCCGGTGCGTCCGACTCCGGCACTGAAACGAGAGGGAAGGCCATTGGCACATACCACCTGGAACACCGTAGCGCACACCACCGTCCAACAGGCACGGAAGCATATTAGCAGGTGATGAGCGATTTGAAGACTACCGAATATGCGGTGCAATTGTCGCACTTAGAAAGGGTCACCCGAGCAAAATCGAAGCATTTCTAGTTTAACTTAAAAAGACAAGAATTTCACATTAGGAGCACTTGGCACAATTTCTCATTCAATTTTAGGTCAATCATTCACTGGATGTGTGCTCTCTATCAATGTTAGCAGACTGTTTGAACAAAATAATTTCTTTTTAAAACATGTGATCAAAATTGTGCAAGTCAAGTAACAGAACTAAAACTGCAGTTTTTGTTTTGGGCTGGTATAGCCTGGCTCACCTTGGATTACATCTGAATGAAAAATTTTGCTACAAAAACACAATCAAGTTCTTATGAAAGCATGATAGCAGTGACAACAATACTTTAGGGAAGCACAAACAGCAGCGACAACAGTACTTTAAAGGGCAACTCCGGCCAAAACTCAAAATGAAATAAATTACTGGTATCGCTGTAGTGACACAAAATACGACCCCAGCCAAAATATTACGTCCGTGGGACGCCGCATTCTCAACTAATGCCGATCATAAAAATGCAACCCGCCACGAGCCGCTGCTCCTTAGCGGGTGGCCAGCGGGTTGCCGATCGCTAAAGCAACACTGGGCCGTGACGTCAGTATCGTTCTCTTTTTTTCCTCCGGTCCGGGCGTTGCGCGGAGTGCGCTTCTTTGAACCGCTACCACCGCTACCTCGGCTTGTGATTGGCGTGTTTAGCCGTTGGTTTTATCTGTAGCCCGTGTAGCTTCGATATAGCCTTTTGTTTATTTGCTAGCGAGGACTCCAAGACTCTTTTTAGCGAGCAACTCAGTGCGCCTAAGACTGCCCAGCTGTTCCTCGAAAGATGCCGAGTGCAACTTGTAGCGCTTTGGGCTGCTCAAACAACCTGCCACGCAACACAAAGGTGCTTTTTCACAAGTTTCCAACACACCGGAAATTGTAGAAGGTGTTGGTGAACGCTGTTTGACGAGTGGACTTTGGACTTCGGCTTTTACGTGCCCGAGGAAAAAAAACGAAAAAAACAGACGCGTACAGCCCAGCACACGTGTGTTCGGGCACCGTTGCTCGCGCCGGAGAGCCTCAAAGCTTTGTGTCCTGGGAGTGACCCGCGGCACGAAAGCGAGAGGGGCCCCCAGTACTGTACGTCACTGGCAGCGTGGCGTAGAGCAACGCCGCTCCATCCACGAAGCCCCGAGGACAATTGAGGCCTAGCGACGAGTACAGAAGACCGCACCCACGGCGGCGGCCGCCGAGTACGGCACCGTAAGAGTTCACAGGTTTTCCAGTCGCTAGCTTTTGGGCACATGCACCAACTCTTTCTAAATATGCTGGATAACTACATACCTGCCAACCAGTGGGCTTTCAAATTCGTAAAAGTTCAGCAGCTGCAGTGGGGGGGGGTTACGCGAAATGATGTGCAGCTTAATGTCAGCCTGGCCAACGTGCGAAACGCTTGCATCACATGTACACGAGCTACAGAATCCAAACTTTGCTTGCTTCTTGGGCGGCATGAAGCATGGAAATTTCGCCGTGTAGGACTTCAGGAACACCTGAAAGTACTTCTTTTGAGGTTTGGAGTTCGGCATTGCGCCGACGAAGCCACAGTGACCAGAAGAATGCTACAGTTACACGTGCAACAAACACAGACGCCATACTTCTCGCCTCGAAACTGGCCGAAGCAACGAGGCCCAACAACGTCTGAACATGCCGAACCAACGTGCACCCGTGCACCGCCGAACACACAAACAAAGGCTTTGAGCTTTGGATTGGTTTTCGATCCGTGGCCACCGGATAGACGGATAGTAAAAACCACGACGCTGCTGTGGACGGTACCTATCGTCCTCTTCTGGCGGTGCAAGATACCGCCAACAACTGAGTTACAAAAAATAAAAAAATAAACAAAATTTTAAAAATATATATTTTTCGTAAGATTTGAAGCAAAATTCGTAAAATCGTAAAATTAGTCCCAATTCGTACATTTTACGAAACATTCGGAAGAGTTGGCAGGTATGCAACTACCACGTATATGGAATTAAAACAAAATCAGCTTACCTCCTATCTTTAGACGGCTAGCGCAACAGAGGTAGGTGCCGTTCGGCCTGCATACTCGTTGAACGAGAACGATCCTGACGTCACGTTCACGTAGCGGCTCATTTCCAGTGTTGCCGGGGCCTCGAGCAGCTAGTTTCAGTTTTGTTGGCCACGCTAAACAAAACCTTGAGGCGTCGATATCTTTAAAACTACGCACAATAACGAGAAAAAAAATTATACCTTGCTATTCAGGGAAGTTGACTGCACTAAAAACAGTCATAATCCCAAAGTCGAAAGTATGGACCGGAGTTGCCCTTTAAGCCTGTTCACACACTTGTATCTGCTTACGACCCAGTTCTTTTGATCTCTCATGACGAGAGAAAACAATGCTGCCGCCATCTATGAGGTCTACCCAGAATTATACATTTCACTAGAGCGAGGGTTTTGCGGAATTCGTGAGATCAAATGCATGTATTGTCTACGAGAAACGGTCGTACACAATAACAGTGTCGGAAGTTTTTACAGCGAAGAAAGAGAGGAGGATAAGCCAAAAAAGTAGGAAATGTACGGAAGTGCCGAGTCTTCCACAGCTTCCCGACAGATGGAGCCGGTGCGCTTCCTCGTCGTAAGAAATCCCGAGAGGTTTTAAGGCACACGGTCGTAAGCTGCCCCAAGCGTGTGAACCAGCCTTTGGACGTGGGAAATACGGGTGCCACGGCGGTCGGCGAAAAGCCAACTCGAATTCAATAGAGTTCAAGGACCTGCAGTGGACCGTGATGGGGCCCTCCTGGCCAAACTGCTCCTTGGTCTTGTGGACCTGGGCGATGAACTCCAGGTAGCCCTCGGCCGTCTTGGGAACGCCCTGTTCCGGCCAGTCCGTGAAGTGGAACTGCCGGATGGTCCGAGACTGGCCGTCCTGCACGGGCCACAAAGACACGTCTTGGCACGCTTTCGTCACTCCCAGGCAACTTCCACTTGGTAGCATTTGCTCAAAAATTTCTACGCCTGATAAAATCGGTTAGCGACTATCATAGAAATTAGGAAAGAAAAACCTTCCATGCTATGAGTATGACACAGATGATCAAACTTGGACCCGAGAATCATTCTGACCAATTTTCACCGTTTGATATATTGCATTTTCGATCGCAACATCACATTTATTCGCAGACCTTGATACAAAGATCCGTCAAAGGCCTATAAAGAGACGTGTGTCAACACATAGACACACACTCACTATTTTCGCCTCAAACAAAAATAGCGAATCAGAAAAAAACATAACAGACGTCAAACGACTTACACTGGCGACACGTGCGAACGAGGGCATTACCTTGGCATCTGTGACTTTGAACTCTCTGAGGATGTACTGGGGCATGTTGTACTCTGTGATGGGGTCCACTACGTAGTACAGGTAGCGCTGAGAGTGCTCGGAGGGCCAGTACTGGTGGCACTTCTCCTGTGAAACACAGAGTGGAGAAGGCTTTAAAACCGGAGGTACCCAAAGAATAGCAGCTCAAACTTGGGAGCCACGCGATTCTCGTTTTCAGGTACAACCCGAATTCACTCGAAATTTTCGCCTTTAATGACCAGACTAATGCCCTTATGTCCCAAAAACCGTAAATTCACTCTCTCATGTCCATCTTTTTAACTGCTCAAAATATGCACTTTGGTGTAACTACATACTATCACAGCAAGAGAATTTCGATGACCGTGATGACGTGATTACGAAGAAATGAAGAAAAAGAATAGAGCGAAACACAAAAATGAAAAGATGAGTCGTCGTTCCCTTTTTGTGTTTTGCTTTAATTCTCATTATTAACGTGACAAGAACTTTACACGTGAAAATAAAGTGCCGATAGGATTTCCCAACTACAATGTTTTGATGGTCTCGAAAAGGTTGTAGATGAGAAAAGTTTGGTTTTTCGCTAAAAATGTCCCAACCTTTAGCGGTGAAACATCCCACAGCATGTTAACGATGCTTTGAGAGTAGGAGGGGGTACTGACCCTGCCCATCTCCTTGAGCTTGGTTAGCATGACCACAATGTTGGAGTTGTGCTCCCACACCATCCTCCAAAAGTCTTCCGTGGTTTCGGCCATGGGGCCCTGGGTGGCTATGTAGGCGTTGCGGTACCGGTAACCCTGGAACAAGAGCGCATCACAAAACCCGTCACCTATGTTTCAAAACACACAAAAGAAAAGCTGCCGGGGCAGGCAATCTACAAACGGTCAGTCAGAGATGTCAGTTTATTTACTCTTCATACCACGCTGTAGCAAAGTTTGCTATTTTGTTGACGATTTCTCCGCTCTCATGCCGATAATGTCCACAATGTTAAAAAAAAAGAAGAAAAAGATTGAATAGGACAAAAAAGAAAAAAAGAAAAAGCCATATCACAGAATCTAATTTAATTTCATTTATTTTTCCTTAACCCTTTCACCATCTTGTTTTTCTTCTGGGGGGGGGGGGGATTTCTTACCCTCAACTGCTTAATTGCTGTCCTAAAAATTATATTTTGTTGCCTTCAAATGAAATTTATGCCAAAAACAAAATGGAAGCAAAATTTAAAAATATTCGCCGCTGCCATTCATTGGCAGAGCCGCAAACTAAGCAATGAGCAAGCCTGGTTCGTCAATAACTGTTGGGTGTGTGAAATGGGGAAAGTGGACGAGCTACACTTTCTGAACGGTTCAGGGACGGCTCCACGTTGACGAGCTAGGCTCGTCCAAAATAATTAAGGGGTTAAATTACATAAGGGGTGGGATATGAGTGAAGATAATACAATAATTTGAAACATACAATACAAAGAAAGACAAAAATAGAAACAGTAGTAACAAAAACTGCATACAAAGACAATCTAATAGGACAGTGGTGGTTAGCAGAGGTGTGAAGTGACTGACTGGCGGAAAATGGATCGGTCCGAAATAAGTTCTATTCACTCGGGGAGGGAGCTCCGGATCGTTAAAGCCAGTGGAAAAAAATGAGCTATTAAAGGCTAGTGTTCTGCCTGTTATACATTTTTTACACTTAAACTTTACATCTTTTGTACATTTCACTAAAAACGGGCTTGCTGCGCACAAAAGTTTACTGCTTAGGTTGCCGCACCAAACAGACACTCTCCACCATAATATTAGTTTTAATGACGATTCATTTCTAGAAAGAAAAATTAGAAAAACCGACGGGCACTTGTTTGTGCTAATAGTGTCCCGCCGTTTCTGCTGTTTATTTTTGTTGCTTTTCAGCTGAAACTGAACAAAAATTGTGAGTAAGGGTATAGAGCAATATGCTTGATTTTAAATTTTTTGTAAGTAATTTAAATGAACAAATACACTATTATATGGATGTTTTAATGTCATTCTACAGCCTATCTGATGTCCGAGTCCTCTAGCACAAATTAAATAGTACAAACAACAAATACGCTTAGATAGAACCACGCGAAACAAAAACGTGAAGCAGGCAGCTTACGGGCAAAGCACGTGTCACCCAGGTGTGAACACCAAACACGTCATAGCTACTCACGTCGATGAAGCTGGCGTTGATGTAATCCGAGCCGTCTACGCCGCGGATCGGTTGAAGACACACTCTAGTTGCTTCATCTGCGCAAAGACACAACTCGGTATAGAAAAGCAAGAGAGCCTCTAGAGAGATCTATAGAGTAAAAGGAAAGGTCCAGCTCACTCACAGGGTAGGATGTTCATGAGCCGGTTCTTGAACTTGTTCACCGGCAGGTTCGCACTGACAAACTTGTTGGACTGCGTCTTCATGTTCGCCAGTTTCTGCGCAACGACGACGTCAACCAAATGCCTGGTTTAGGTTGAGTGTCACTACCTACCTGGGCAACACTGTGGACCTATATATGCCTATTCAATAAAAGTTCTTCCCCAAAAACAATTTATACAGGACGCAAAGTGCAAGCAGGAAAATCTAAAGCTCGAGGTGAAGGGGGGTAGACTAGAACCACCAAATGAGCTACGCTCGAAAATAAAGACACTTCGACCACGTTGGTGCTCAAAATCGCCGCTGCCGGTTGTCCGAAGCTTTGTCTGAAACCCCGAAAAATGCTTTTCCGCCCTCCATGAATGGTAAAACAGTCAGCGAGAGAGCAAAACTATGTTGACGACACCATACCATAGCTCAGGAAAGTTGCTTTTTCGAAACATAACGGTCGCCGATTGTGTTTGCTCTACGCTAATCACCAAAATGATAGGGCCCACAAGAAGAGTTCAGGAACGGACTGCCGATATTGTACCTCATTGAGTGGCTCCTTGGTTGACTCGAGCCAAGTGTTGGAAATAAAAGCTGCAAACGACCAATCGAAGTGTGCTGCGACTGACGGCGGTGGCGGCTGCTTTGTGAAAAGGCACGTTGAAGCAGATGCGGCTTCAGCCAGTGTGCTGTACAATGTCTGGAATGGATTCTACGCTTTTTAATTGATGTAAAAGATGCCTATGAGGAGATGTGTGCTTTGGTGGAACAAGTGCGAGAAATGTTGCACGCATTGAAGAACGACAAAGACGCTTTTTCTATTTGGCTGAAACACTCTTTTACAACGGGGACACCTGTGACCGCACCTGCAGTGGAAGGAGCAAAAGTAGCATGTATGCAAGTTGTTCTGTAAAGGCACTTTGCGCCTCTACAGAACAGCTCGCATACATACTTTAGGCGGCGGTAGTGGGGAGACAAGGGAGCGTTTCCGCACAGCGCGACCACATGGGTATTTTGCAGCAGCTACTGCCAAAGGGGTTAAGGAGAGGGGGGGGGGGCTTGACATCTGAGAAACGACAGGGGGAGGGAGAGCAGTACCTCTGCTGTTGAGTGGCGTTGTGCGTTCATACGTGAGCATTTCTTGCCGGGAAGGGGCACTAACCGCTACCGTCGTAAAGAAGTGTGTAGAGGAAAGAGAGAAGAGCAAAACCGAAAAGAAAAGTTCAGAAAGAAAGAGAACCAAAGAAGAGGAACAGGAAGCCTGGGGAAGGCGGAGAAAGAGAAGAGTGGAAACATAAATGGAAGCCCAAAAGAAAGCGACAGGTATAACATTGCGAAGGAGGGCAGTAACCATTCCACATACCCAGGCATTTGTTGCATTCTTTGTACACCTAAGTGCATCATACATGCATCTGTCTGCTGCACACGCGTACGTGTCTATACCCCGTTTCGTCATACGATAAACCGCAGCAGACGCCACGAGTGATCCCGGTCAATCCGGTGCCGCGAACGTGCACGTAGCTATGCGCCTCGCACCGTCTGCACCCCTCTCGAAGGTCGCGCGACCCTCTCAGAGCGACGGATTGGCCGCGGCGTCCGCCGCATTTCATAGCAAGTTGAAACGGGGTATAGTGGTAAGTGTGGACTACACAAGACTGAGTGAGAGAGAACTTGCCTTGAACTCCATTTCCATGCCCGTGCAGGCCTCACCCGGCAGGGTCTGGAGCAGGGACTGGACGTGCGCCGCCAGACTGCGGGCGGGTACCTCTGTGTGCCCCGCCAGCACCGCTTCCAGCACCGCGTCATGGATGAACAGGTACTGGTCCTCCGTCTGCACCATGTAGTTGCGCTGGGCACGCAGGCAGGTCACGTGGCCGTAGATGTCCACCGTGCCCTCGTGACGCAGCCGCTCCAGCATCGAGTCAATCACCACAAAGCAGCCCGTGCGCCCCACGCCGGCGCTGCATTTGGCGTCACGCAAGGGCGTGCATTCAGCGTCACCAACCTCTCTTTCTCGAGTGAATGCGGCAATGCCGACTTGTCGGCTCTTGCCCACCGTCCTTCGGCACGGAGCCCCGGTTCCCGCCGTCTAAAAACGGTACGTCGTTTTAATTTTCGCCCGATAGAAAGGTAAAAGGTCAAAGTTTACTTAGGCACATTTCGGCTTTCGCGCGGCTCTTTTGACACGTCCGACAAGTGAGCCTCGAATGCCCTTCGATGAAGACTGATGGTGCGCTACGCCGAAGTACCTGCAGGCAGCTCCGAAGTTTCCTAAAATCGGGAATGCTACGAAGCTTTCCTCGAATCGGATCTCATCTCTCTATTGCACTCGATCAGCATGTAAGATGAAGAGAGAAACTGCTCCCCTCCTTTTCCCACGTGTCAAGTTTGAGGTGCCGCAAAGCTACAATTAAACGGGAACTGCGAGGCCCCTACACTTGGGCACAAAGCTTCGAAGTCCACCGCGCGCATTTGCAATGTCAATGGGACCCTGCTCGGTAGCATGCCATGCTAATAAGCTCCTATAAAAGGTAAAACAAATGTTAGTACAGTATAGACCACTTACAACGTAACCGCTTATAGTGCAGGACCAGGTATAACGCAACTTTTTTAAACCACCGGTTCGCTTCCCATAGAACTCCATGTAATTACATACCGCTTGAAATGCAGGCGCGCGAAGGGAAATACCGGTTATAGTGCGGTTTCTGAAACAGCCCACCAACCGGGCCGACCGACCAGCGCAGCGAGCACGCTTCCCTGTGCGACACTAGATAACGGTGCTAGCCTGGCTACCGCAAGAGGCACTCGCAGGGCAAGAAGGTTGCTCGAAGAAGCGGGGAGAAGCGAAGAAAGAGGCTTCAGTTGCCATAACGACGGAGGGACGCACGCACGTGTCGTTCACGTGCGTGTGTCCCTCCGCTGCGTTGGAAAACAACAGCCGCAACGACAGACCAATCGCAGGTCTAGGAGAAGTGTTCGCGCGCGTTGCATGCCGGTTGCGGGCTGGCTGCTTCTATCGGCAAACATGGCATCGGTTGTAATCGTCGACGTAGACGTTGTGATGGAAGCTCATCGTTCCGCGTAAAAGCGCTATCCTTGACTGTGAATTTTCATTGTGTGAGCGAATAACCCAGCACATACTTGAAGGGAAGATCCACCTACTCGTGCGGCGATGTCGTGGCGGCACTCGCAAGACGGCAGAACATCCGTGTCGTCGTGTTTGTTTACTTCGACTACAGTGGTGATTTCAAAGCATTTGTGTTTTCGAACATCGCTCGGATTTCTTATTTGGAGCATTTCACGCCTGTGCTCAAATTGAAGGTATTACTGGTGCGTATAAAGGATGCGAATTTTCACGCGTTTTTATCACCAAAAAAAAGTTATTAGGGTTAGCAATCCTGAACGCTTGCAACGTCGGGTCCGTATCACTTGAGTGAATGACATTTTAGCGAGCAGCGATATTTGAGCGAACTAACGTTTTAGCGAATAACGGGGGCGCGCGTTAACCCATCCGCCCTGCTGCGCTTACGCCTCTTCGCTGGCGACAGTCTGCAGCGGCTCATTACAAAAACGTGAACCCATTTGGCCCACCCGAAAATGCCGCTTCGCGGCGTCCGACTCTTCGCTAAAGTGTCATTTGGTGAAACGTGGGCGTTCGCTAAAACGTTGTTCGATCAAGTGAGTGCCTCCCCGCAACGTCCGTCCGCAACCCGCGACGCCGTTAAAAAGCTGCGCCAGGCGAAAGTTGCTCATTTCTTTCAAAATGTGTGACACACTTGAGAGAGAAGTGTACTAGTCTGCTGAAATAAAGACTTTCCTCAAACTAAGCTTTATTTTTCATCTAACATAAAATAAATTCTTTTACAAAGGTAAGTTGTCTCATGGCATGTATTTTGGCCTAAAAAACTGATGTTTTGGTTATTGCGCGGTACCGCTTATAGTGCGGATTTTCTCGACTCCCGCGACATACGTTATACAGTATAGACCACTTACAACGTAACCGCTTATAGTGCAGGACTGGGTATAACGCGGCTTTTTTAAACCACCGGTTCGCCTCCCATAGAACTCCATGTAATTACACACCGCTTAAAATGCAGGTGCGCGAAGGGAAATACTGGTTATAGTGCGATTTTCGGAACAGCCCGGCGACCGCGCCGACTGACCGACGTAGAGAGCACGCTTCCCTGTGCGACACTAGATAACGGCGCGAGCCGCAAACGGCACTCGCAGGGCAAGGAGGTTGCTCGAAGAAGCGGGAAGAAGCGAAGAGAGAGGCTTCAGTTGCCATAGCGACGGAGGGACGCACGCACGTGTCGTTCACGTGCGTGCGTCCCTCCGCTGCGTTGGAAAACAACCGCAACGACAGACCAATCGCAGGTCAAGGAGAAGTGTTCGCGTGCGTTGCATGCCGGTCGCGGGCTGGCTGCTTCTATCCGCGAACATGGCGTCGGTTTTGATCGTCGACGTAGACGGCCGTTGAAACTCATCGTTCCACGTAAAAACGCTATCCTTGACTGTGAATTTGCGTTGTGTGTGTCGCTATGATAACCCAGCACGTACTAGAAGGGAAGATCCACCTACTTGTGCGGCGATGTTGTGGCAGCACTCTCAAGACGGCAGAAACGCCCGTGTCGTCGTGTTTGTTTACTTCGACTACAGTGGTGCTTTCTAAACATTTGTGTTTTCGACCATCGCCCGGATTTCTTATTTGGAGCATTTCGTGCCTGTGCTCAAGTTGAAGGTATTACTGGCGCGTACTGTATAAAGGATGCGAATTTTCACGCGTTTTCATTGCCGGAGAAAAGTGATTAGAGTTAGCAATCCTGAACGCTCGCTACGTCCGTCCGCAACCTGCGACGCCGTTAAAAGGCTGCGCCAGGCAAAAGTCGCTCATATCTTTCAAAATGTGTGACACACTTGAGAGAGAAGTGTACTAGTCTGAAGAAATAAAGACTTTCCTCAAACTAAAGCTTTATTTTTCATGTAACATAAAATAAATTCTTTTACAAAGGTAAGTTGTCTGATGGCACGCATTTTGGCCTGAAAAATTAATGTTTTGGTTATAATGCAGTACCGCTTATAGTGCGGATTTTCGCGACTCCCGTGACATACGTTATATGCGGTCTACACTGTATGCGGTCTATACTGTAGCATTGAAAACGGCGAAGGGCGGTCGTTACCTGCAGTGGACGATCATAGGCCCCGCTTCGGGTGGGTTCATGGTGCGGACCCGCCGCAGGAACATGAGGAACGGCGTCGGGTGGTCCGGAACGCCGTGGTCCGGCCACGCCGTGAACTGGAACTGACGGACCTCCCGGCGTTCCAAATAACCGGACTACAAAAAAAAAAAAAAAAAAAAAAAAAGAAATTGTTTATACCACTCTGAAAATGATGGCACAATACGACCCCTCTACAATCTAGGCCAAAGTAATTTTATAAACAGTCCTTATTGTGCAAGCACCTTTACCACGTCGATATTCCAGATAAGTAGGGAAGTGCAAATAGCAATCTTTCAGTATGAAGCGAATAGTTTGTGGGCTGTTGATACAACTGTAGTCCACACAGTTGTAGTTAAGGGAACAAGAAAAAGAAAAAAAAAAGAACGAACACGACAAGGTTCTATAGCGTGATCAATCACCAGCTCGCCTGCACAATTTCTCTCATTTCAATACAACCATGTCTCATTAATATGGACACATCCATTGCCCCGAAAAATGGCCCATAAAGTGAATCTTCCATGGTACAATCGACTCTCATTAATTCAAACTCTCTTAGTTCAAATTTGCAGATAATTCAAACTTACATGCAGGTCCCATCCTATGCGTCTCTATGGGAGGAAACTCCCGGTAATTCAAACTTTGCTTTATTCAAACAAATTTTCAATCCCCCTCAAGTTTGAATTAACGAGATTCGACTTTGGTGAATCAAGACCAGGATCACAAATAATCAACAAGAAAGGTGGTCACAAAAGACACAATTTATTTAAGGAAAACAAATGCAGAGACTAATTTGCACTGACGTGTTAGCTATTAGAAAGACAATCTGCAATAGATTCGAGAGAGTAGACTCGTTGCTCCTATGGTTAGTTACTTGTGTTGCAGCCTTAATTGATGAACTCATTTTGAGCATGTACTGTATGCTGTTTTCATTCCTTTGTTTCTAGTCTGAAATAATGTATGCTTTGCAACATTTCAAACTTAGAAATACTTAGAAAAGATTCATATTCGATTCGAACTTCAAATCGAATATGGCATTATTCACTTCAATATTCGAAAGTTTGGAATATTCGTACAACCATATCAATAAGTGAAACACGGTAGGTAACTCGACCGAAGTAGGTTAATAAACCAAATGTTTCTTGCGAAAATACCTTTACTGCATTGGCATTCCTGACAAACAAGTCAATCAATTGTCAAGACAGAAACAACCTTGGGAGGTCTACCAAGGTAGGGAGAGAGCACAGATTGTGCTGCCTACCCTCTTGAGGCTGAAAGTCCGGATGCAGTAGGTCGCCAGCTCTTGGACGTCTTCGAGGGTGACCTCCATCAGGCCGTAGGTCTCCGATCCTCTCGAAGGCCAGTACTGGTCACACTGCACGAGCGAGTCAACCGGTCAGTCTTCGGTGCTTCGTGGGCTCGAAAGGAGGCCTAATGTATCGTCCATTCACTGCTTCCTTACAATTGTTGCGAATAAATTTTCCCAATAAAAAAGTTATAAAAAAACATTGTTATAATAGTAGAGCAACCTTTTATTAAGTTACCAATTGCTTGTTGTGCATGGCCACCTGACGGACCATATACAAAGCCCCACTGAGCAACGCGGGCAGCCATAATTTTTTCAGGCACCGCTTCCTGCGCAGGGCGCGACTGGACTCGAGGTAGCGCCGAATGGCGACGCAACATTCATGTGCAACACGCACTTAAGGCTGGTTCACACACGCGACTGCTTACGAATGAGTGCACCACAATCTTTTATGGTATCTTACGACTGGCACCATCTATGATGTGACCCTGGAACTGCATCTCCCCTAAAGCGAAAGTTTTGGGGTATTGGTCAAAAGACTTTCGAGCCAACAGTGAAAAAACGATGCGCACAAAAACAAAAAATATGCGGAAATTACGAGTGTTCAGCGGTCACTCGACAGATGGCGCCAGCGTAACGCATTCAGTTGTAAGCAGACGCAAGTGCGTGAATGGGCCTTTAGAGTCTGTAACCGAAATGTGGTGAGCCCGGATAATTGACGCAGCAGCTACTAGGCCAGTGCACACTTTTATAAACACCGTCTAGGTGGCGTAAGCTGCCGCCCGATTCAAAGGGTTTGGTCGCGTGCATCCGTCTATCCATCTGGCCCATTACGGTAGATGCGACGGGCACGTGCGAGGCGAACAAGAGAGGGGAAGGCCACCTTGACGCGGGTGCGCTCCTCCAGCTTGGTCATCATGACCAGGGTGACGCTGTGCTGTTCCCAAGTCATGCGCCAGAAGTCCCCGCACGTCTCCGGCAGGGGCCCCTGGGTGGCGATGTAGGCGTTGCGCCGCCGGTACCCGTCGCAGTAGTTGGCGTTGATGTAGTCCGAGCCGGGCATGCCCTCCAGGGTCTGGAGCACCACCCGGCTGTGGTCGTACGCTATGACGTTGGCGTACCGGTTCTTGGGCTTGTTCACTTCTAGGTTCGAGTTCTCCCAGGTGAACTGCTGTCCCGGATCGATAGACTGTGCAGAAACAAGCACAACGCTCATTCCTTTACTGATTTCACCCTTATTAGCGTATGAATGTGAAAAAAATATGTCATATACAATTTCAATAGAAAACATTCATAGCAAACATACAAAATGAGAAAAAAAAGAAATGTAAAAAAACGCCTCTAAACATGTCCACGAGGAACACGGTTATATAGACAGTTTATGCACACATACGGGAATGAATAAGATTCTCCAGAACATCTTAACATCAATGTAAGTAATCACTTGGGAAAACAATAAGGCCAATGATTCAGGAAACAGGTTGTTTAAGCTTACAGCTTCATAAGAACTGCTTAAGAGAAGCCCTTTGGAATTTTCATGCTGCACTTTATGAAACCAAATGAGAAATACAGGCTATACACAGGTTGTGCTGCACTTCAAAGTATAGGTTTTTACTCCTAAATTAACCGAAGCATATGTAAAGCTGACATACAAGTAGCATTTTTAACTTCAAGTTAGGGGGAAACATGGGCCTAAATTTTTAATTTTTTTTTTTTTTAATTCATTTTTTAATTTTGAGGTTTTCAGTATTAGAAACTAATTATACACCCTTACACCAAATTTGATAACCATACGCCAAATAGTTACGTTGATATAAAATATTTTCAACACATTGTGAAGCAGTAACAAAGTAAAGGAGCTCAAAGTTTGAATGCATTTTTTTCAGTTCCACTTTTTGCTGCAAATTTCATACGAAGGAACCTTTTGTTCGAAGGTGAAAGTATTCTGATACCACAATCAAGATGTTTCTGAACTAAAATTTACTCAGGAATTGGGCTATCTACTTTATTTTGTTTAAGTTGAAGTCCTCAGTGATAAAAAACTAAGTTTTCAAAAATTGACAGAGGACATATATGCATCTCATAGTTTGAGGTAATAACTCTTCCTAAAATATTTACATTTAAGTTATTAAAACTAGATAGCCCGAGGTCCCATATCCCCCCCTTTGTATTCAAGCAGTCAAAATGATGCTTAATAGCTTGATTTGCATATCATAGATTTCTTAATGAAAAGTAACACATCATCTTATGCAGGTATGTAAATTTTTCCTAGAGAGCTGAAAGTTTGCACAGTACACCTACATCTGAAGCTAAATATCCCCTGCAAATTTGATTCCAATCACTTCAGTAGTTCAAAAGTTTGACCTCTCGCCAGTGTCCCACATAGATACTGTCCACAGAATAATGAAAGTGTTCCCGAAATTAATCTGAACGTCAAACATCTTTCGGGGGATGGTCTCTTAACTCTACATCGATTCTTTTAAGTCGGAAACAATTTCATACACTTTTTACGTTCGAGGATTCACAGCCTGTCACATGCTCTATGCACTCTAAACCAGGTTGCTTCATTCATTTCATACCCAATTTCACTGCTTTTCCAGGTCACTTTTTACAATTCAATATTCTTGTCATAGCATCGGAATATCTCAATTTCGGTTAAGCCCACTAGGCAAAGGCAACAAACACTATCCGGAACAACACCGGGAAATAAAGAGACACGAACGAATGCAAAGGAACACACAAGCATGCACCCACCTCATACTCCTGAGAGAAGCGCAGGTTGTCGTTGGCCTTGAGAGCATCCACGTGGACCACAAGCTGCCCGACCGGAATCGGGGGATGCCCGACCATGGCGGGCGTCTGGTAGTTGAGCCGGCGCATCTCCACGGGGTCCGTGCCGGGCTGGCCACCCTGGGTGGCCGTGAGGTCGCCCGAGTTCATCAGGAGCTTCATGGTGGTCTCCCCCGCCGGCGTCTTTGACTGCCGACGTCTCCTGCGGGGAGTGGCAAAACGTACCGATTTAATGATGGCCGTTCGAACGATGAGTGGAGTTGGTGCCACCTAGAAGACAAGGACCGCGACTTTTTCCCTGAACGTCGTCACGAGTGGATCCACGCGGCGTCTCACAACGAGTGCGGTGTTAGAACGCGGCGAAGCTGAGACGGGTACATCAGCCTTTTTGCAGCGTTTCTGGTCAAGAGTGTTTGTTGCTTGGGCGGTTTAGAGATACACCAACGACGTCGTCGTACGCCGGCTTCGTCCTCTAAGTGGCGTCGGTAAAGGTCTTTTGAGGGGACGTACTTTCCTGGCACGCCGAATTAGTAACTGAAATTTCAATTTGATACCGTAACCACTGCGCTGCAAACACGACACTGCACGACATACAACTGCTGCAAACACGACACTGGCGCTTCTTCAAATTTTGCTCAGACAATATACTGGGGAACACAAACTTGAATCACCTAAGTTGGTGCCACGGATAAGACCCTTCAATCCCTCATGTTTGATGACAGCACAACATTTATCAAAAAGGAAAACAAAAACCCGGCAATGGCTTGTTTGTGCTGTATAGCTCACTCTGTACACTTTTGACTTGGTGCCAAAAACAATTTTTCATGAAAACCACTTTTTTTTCGGTCGTAAATGTATTTATAAAAGGAAAGCGCAGTCAAGGAAGACAGGCACTTGCAAAGAAAAGTCACATGTCTTGTGCATTTAGTCGTGACCCACGTTAGCATGCCTAGGGAAATCGGCAGCCAAATAGACAAAATTAAATGAAAGCACTGCGTCGCATTGTTGTCAAAAGGTAACAAAGACAGACACTCAAAGATCTTTTGAAGATGCTACATATATAGAACTCTAAAACTAACACTAAAAAGAACAGGAACGTTCCAGTAGAGATAGACAAATACAAAAGATGATGTGTCCGTCTCTATGTTTCCTTAACAACATGTTCGTTTCGCACGGCCTCCTTTCGTGACTAGGATAGTCGAGGAGGGCCCCCACCTTTTCATGAGGATGAAAAAGAGCGTGAGGAAGAGGGCCATGAAGACGATGAGCAGCAGGGGCCCCACGATCCAGCCCACATCCGCCCGGGAGCGCTCAATTTGCGACACGTTGGGCACATCGTCCGGGGAGCGCAGTCGCACCTGGGGCAGCATCTCCAGGCTCATCTCGTCCGAGAAGGGGCTCGTCGTGAACAGGTTCTGCAACAAAGCCATCACGTCGCTTGTCCAAGATTGCGCAAATATACGAATTTTCGAATAGAGGTTTCAAATAATAGGCTATTCGATATTTGCTCCCCCCCCAAGATGAACTGCAGTATTCATATTTTTCTCCCCATTGAATGTGCTTCTTACCGAGCACTGGTGCGACGCAGAGAAGCAACACTACAAAGAGTTCGCCTTCCACGGGCGTCTCCTCTCCACGGCGCACGGCACCTTGGTAATAAGCACGCTCATGGGCATAACTTACCGCGAGATCAACAGTTTGAAAAGAACAAGTGTTGCAGCCACATGCTTGGGAGAAAAGCACACTTTCAAGGCGGTATGGCGCACGCATGCGCTTGATGTATTTAAAAGGACCCGACAACCTGCCTTCATAATTCAAGATTGTCTTTTTTCTTTTTCTGAAATTATAAGTGTATGAAAGGCTATTTGCATATAGCATGAAGATTTAAAATCCCCCCCGATTAGGTATACCTGGGTATCTCTATAAGTTTTAATTTTATGTCCAGTGCATCGTTTACCTGGCATCCCTATGTAGGCATTGGACTTTCTGAGGCCACCGTCCATAACTATACCGTATTTACTTGCAGAATGAACACACATTTTTTTCCGAAAAATCGATGCAAAGTTGGGGGGTGCGTTCATTACGCGAAGTAAAATTTTTGCGTCCGTATTTACTTGCATAATGAACGACCTTTTATCCTGAAAAATTGAAGTAACTTCTTATGTATTTGCGCGCGGCGCCCGACCCCCTAACCAAACTAAGCTGTGCAATAAAAAAAAACAAAAAAAAACTCCTCTTTGTTTTGTTTTTCTCCTAATTCCTTGGGGTTTTTTTTGTTGCCGCCTTTCGCAAGCTGTTTCGTTTGCTTAGGCGAGGGCTCTCCGCTTATCTTTCTTATCTTCTTGCGCGCGGCGCCCGACGCACGACCCCCAATAACCAAACTGCGCTGTGCAAAAAAAAAAAGAAAGCTCATCTTTTTCTTGTTTTTTTTTTTTTTCTCAGTTCCGTGGGTTTTTTTTTTTCCGCTTTTCGCAAGTTGTTTCGTTTGCTTAGAGGGCTTCTCCGCTCCTCTTTCTTACCTCCTTGCGCGCGGCCCGCGCGACCCCCGTAACCAAACTGCGCTGTGCAAAAAAAAAGAGAAAAAAAAGCTCTTCTTTGTTTTTTCTTAGTTCCGTGTTTTTTTTCTTTTTTTTTCTTTTTGCCGCCTTTCGCAAGCTGTCTCGTTGGTCTAAGCGCTTCTCTTTCTTACCTTCTTGCGCGCCGCGGTGCGCGAACCCAAAGTCCAGACTGCGCTGTGCAAAAGAAAAAGCTCCTCTCCATGTTTTTTTTTTCTTGCTTCCGTTGGATCTTTGCGAATTTTTTTTAACGCCTTTTGCAAGGCGTTTTGATCGCCCACGCATTTGCGACCTCGCTGCACCAGGGTAAAAAAAGTGCGTTCATTTCGCGCGCGTGGGGTGAGGGGGTCAAAATTTTGACGTCCGATTTGAGGGTGCGTTTATTACGCGAGTGAAAAAAAAAGTCGAAATTTTGAGAGCCGACTTGGGGGGTGCGTTCATTACGCGAGTGCGTTCATTGTGCGAGTAAATACGGTAGTTAGATTAAAATCAGTATAGCGTAGAAATAGACAAGCGGAAGCTTGGTTAAGGCATCGATTCTCCCCGTGCGTCTTATTATTGCCCTGCAACAGGGTGGAAGGAAATCATGACTTTGAAAAAATCTAACAAGTCAAATTTATTTTATTTTAATTGAATTAATTTGATTTATACCACTACCTAAGAAGTTATTCATTATCACTATTTGTATATTTAAATATGGCAGGTTGATTGATCAATCTAGTTGATCACCGAAGACAATGTAAAAGAAGAGATTACTGTACATTTTAACTTTTTGTCTACGGTTAATTAGCAACTTTCTATCGATGTGAATCTGCCATACTGGAACAAAGGCAGATATTTTTAGTTGGTAAAAATTATGTATTTGTCTTTTTTGCATTCTAATTCGCTGGCAATATGACATTACTTTTATTGTTTTTGGTTTCTTTCCTTTTGTTTTGATTTGCTGCAGTAGGACATTAGGTAACTGAAAAAATGGAACAAAAAAAAATCTGAATGCTCCGATTTGCTCAGAATACATATTGAACCTGCCATAAATGTATTCGATCTAATGATTGTTTGATTTAAATATAAAACAAGTGCACACAGAAAGCATCAAATGATACACAAACCGTAAATAAATATTTTTGGGATTATTTTTGCGGGAAATATTTGATTTAAATCATCATCCGATGTGACTAAAATAACAATTTAAAGCATTATTTAAATCACAATTAAAATCACTTAGATCCTTTTCCTCCACCCTGCCCTGCAGCCAATGAAATTGCCGCGTTCGCCGATAAGAATGCAGAGGAACAAATCACAAAGCGAAATTCACGATAAGCCGTGCCCTGCATTTCCTAGAACGGGTACTGCAACGAAATTCTAGTGCCTATTTTATTATTGTCTAAATGTGAACCCTGTTCTGGCCACACCACAGACACCAATCTTTTTGTTTTAAAAGACACAAAAACATTATTCAAAACGAACAAACCGACTGCCAGGCCACACCACAGACAAAAATTTTCTTGTTTTAAAAGACACCGAAACATTATTCAAAATAAATAAACCGATCGCCAGACAGTGCCTGGTGTATGTTCCCAAAGCTGCTTCGAACGCCGTTACGTTCCCACGAAAGCAGTGCCACTTTCCAAAAGTACGCCGACAAGACGCGTGCGCGTGAGCCCTGTCGAACTTGGCCTAACCGCGCTTTCCTTCTCTCCTGCACCTGTTTAACCCTATCAGGAAGTAAGGAGAGAGGAGTCTGAAGCAGAAGCGAGTAACTTTTTCGCCTCCGCTGGCATTTCCGAACCAGCGATGGGGCACCTCAAACGACCAGGTTGTAACGCGTTGACCCCACCAAGTAACGAGGCTTGCAACCACGCCAGCCTCCCCGTATCCTCCCCCGTGAAGTTAAACGGGACGTCACGAACATGCCAGATCTCCCCAAACGCGTCGCGCTGACCAACGGCTGCCCTTCGAGTGCTCGTCCGACTTGTCCGTTTGGAACGAAAAATATGGCCATCCGTTCAAAACACAAACGTGCGACTGTCATTAGCCTGTATCGTCGATCGTGTTATTTCTGAAAGTGGAAGGTAAATTTTAGTTTTAGTTTCTGTCCGTTTTTTAGCTGCCAGAGACAACAGCGCACGTAACAGACATTCCAACGCGATATCTTTGCACGAACCCTTTAAAGTGAGGGAGAGGGAGGAAGCCCACCTTTTGAAGAGTGTCCACCACGGCCCTGACGAAGATCCTATAGCGCCTGAGCGGCTGCAGCTTGCGATTCCGAAACCCCCCGTTGACCTTCTGGTCTCCGAGGGTGAACCGCGCCGGCATGTTCTGGCGCACGAATGCCGCTGTCACGTACGGTCCGTCTTCGTCCAGCGGTGTCGACATTAGCTGCGAGATACGTTTATACAAAATGAATGGCTCTCACTTTTTCAACAATGGGCCGCCTACACTTCACAAGAGCGCGCGCTCGGCCGCCGGCCGCAACTCCGGCAGTAGCGAAACGTGGCCACCCACGCCAGTATGCCGCAGACAAACTAAGGGAGCGGAAGAACGACTTTGTCCTCGGAATTTTTTTTTTCTTGGTAACAACAATTAAAAAACATTCAAATTAGTTTTTTTTTTTCAGTAGTGGGCAACAGCGATATTTCTAACATGATAATTTGAGTGGCCACAAGACTACACCTTGACAGACCCAACTGAAGTATAAGCCTAGTCTACTAATATATTAATAAAAAGTAATTAACTCACCTCTTCTATCTTGAAGTCGTCGGGATCCTTGTTGGCAAACTCCGAAGGAACCACCACCAGGTAGTACTGCTTGATGGGACCATACTCTTCCGAAGCCTGAGGCAGCATCACCGTTATCTCGTCCCCATTGCTGATTGGCCACAGAGCGTCCGGCTTCACCATCGGCTTGGGAGCTGCACAGCCGAGATCAGACAAGCCGTCAGCCACCTCGTCGGCCGTGACAACGGTCGACGCCTAGATTTTGTGCCGGGACTGAATGACTGTAATTAATAACCGTTTGTGAGATCAAAGTTAAAAAAAGAAAAAGCTAAATCTTCTACAATGTTTTACTCAAAAGTCTGTGAACCTTCAAATACTCCAGATGGATTACAAATTATGCCAAAATCATCGTAAAAAGTGATTAGCACTGATAGTTACTAGAGAGTAGGGAAGCACCTACGTGCCGTTTAAACTCTGGAAAACTGTCTATGGCTCTACGTAGGGGGCTAGAATGCACCTCCGACTGCTGTGCTTACTATTCTATTCTATCCCCGCAACGAAGTGGTCTTTAAATTGGCAACAAATTGCGTCACAAAAGCTGGAGTGTCATTCCGTTGGCTGTCGCTACCCCGCTGGGCAGAAATCGAGGGACCATAAAGGGGGCGCGGCAGACAGACCAGTCGGAGACGCGATTGGGGCAGCGCGGTCTGGACGTACCGGCCATGGCGGTGGTGACCATGATCTTGGCGGGTGGCTTGAAGGAGCCGTCCCTGGGCACGGCCGTGATGTTCACCCGGTAGCTCGTGAATGGGATGAGGTTCTCGATGGTGATGTTGGTGGTGCCCACGTCCAGCAGCACATTCTGGGGGGGAATGGGCAGCTCCTGTAGGCCACCCTGGTTGTCGTAGAACTCCTTGTGGGCGCTGTACGAGATCTGGGCACGAGACGACGGCAGAGTTTACAACACTGTGCGAAGCAGGCTTTTGTTACAAAACAGACGGGGGAAGGAAATCGGCGGGGAGGAAGAATCATACTTTTGGTTTCTAAGCTAGGTGGCCCAAGCTACCGCCCGTTATAAAGGCTATAGCTGTTAGCATCCATCTATCTATCCCTTCATCGATAATAAAAATTAAGATTGCATAAATTGTGATATAAATCACACCAATTCAACTATGTTAATTTAAATCTCACCAATTTAAATATGTTGGTGTGGGCATGTAAAGGCAGCAGCTTAAATGGCTGCTAAAAACCCCTTCTGCTTTTTCATCCAGATCCTCGCCTGCACTTGCTGATTCCGTGTTCGACTATGCTGCGGTGCATCGCCCCCAGGATGGTGCATTCATGTTCGCGTCGTCGGTTTCCGGCCGACTCGTGAATGACTCAGCTTACGTGTGCTCAGACTGCCCTACCTACAAGGTGAACGACATCCGTAACGCATGTCTAGTCCGATATTTTCTTTGGACCAGTCATTTACCTTACAAATTATTTCAGAAATCACTGCCAACTGCAACAGTACCTTAGTCATGGAAACTTGCAAAGGTCCTTCCATTTTTTAAATATGGAAACACTGACTCGTTGTTCAACTACAGACCAATTACTGTAACATCTCATGTGTGCAAATTTATTAGAACATATTATCTACAAACATATCATGGAATATCTAGAAACTAACATCTTATGTGATTTACAGCATGGCTTTCGTCGGGAGTACAGTACCATATCACGACTAAGTGAATTCACTCATGATATCACTCGGCCTCTCCACACTGGCAACCAAGTGGACGCAATATTCATAGACTTATACAAGACCTTCGACGCGGTTCCTCACTCTAAACTTTTGCACAGACTCAATGTCATACTATACAACCATTCCCTAGTTAATTGGATAGCCAGTTTCCCCTTTCATCACTCGCAGTATGTATGTTTTAATTCATCAAAGTCTTCTATTAACAATGTGTCATCAGGTGTCCTGAAAAGCACATTCTTGGTTTGCTTTTCTTTTTGCTATACATTAATGATCTGCCTCGCAACATCCTCACAAAAATATGTTTCTATGCTGACGACTGCATTCTGTATAACACGATTAACTCAGAGAAAATACTGTAAGGCTGCAGGCGAGCTGGTGAATATTAACCATGTTGGATAAACCTGAGACTGAGGTAGAGAGGAAACATCAAAACGTAGAAGGGACAGAAAATAGACAGGACAAAGTCTGTTTTCTGTCTCTTCTACGTTTTGATGTTTCCTCCCCACCCCAGTCTCAGGTTTATCCAACATGGTTAAGACTAACACCCCCAATGATTATACTTTTCTAACAATTAATTTTTAAGCTTCTGCACATGGTGTAACACCTGGCAAATGAGTATAAATTTCTCTAAAACCGTCCTCCTGTCTTTTTTTTGAGAGTTCATCCCCTTCCTTGTTCACTTATTCATTTAACGGTTTCTCCCTGCAAAGAGTATTTCAATGCAAGTACCTTGGACTTCTCTTCACGCACAATGTCTTGGTCTAAACACATTGACTTAACGTGTAGCAAAGCACTAAAAAAATTGTTACCTGCGGCATACTTTACATGTTGCCCACCGAGATACTAAAGATCTGACATATAAAACACTTATCTGTTCTACCATGAAGTACAATTCGATTGTTTGGAATCCGTATAAAACACCAGATATTAAAAAACTCGTCACATATTAACAAACTCGAGTCAATTCAGATGACGGCAGCATACCACAAAAGCCCGCATATAATACAAGTTTTTCTTCCAAATTTTGCCATGTAAAATTTGCAGCTCTTATTATACGCGGGCCCCAACAATTTTCAGCTTGGATGAGGTGCGATCTAACGCTGTTTGATGTAGTTTCGGTTTCTAAGCAATATGACGTTCAAAACAGCTATCGTCATCCTTAAAATCACAATGTCCGAGGCGCCCACAGTCAGGCTAGGCAATAGCGTCGGCGCAAAAACAATGCTCGGCCGGCTTCAAAAGAAAAGTCGTCTTGGTTGCGGAAGACATCGGCAACAGTGCTGCCAGACGACAATTCGCTGTAAATGAAGGCAGCATTCGTGGATGGAGACAACAAAAGCAAGCCCTGTTCGCGTACAACAGAGGCCCAAAGAATGGCGTGTTTGCCAATGTCGAGGCAAGTCTCGGCAACTTTTGTAAAAGAGCAACGTGAAACGGCTCCTTGCCGTAAACATCGAGCTGCTGCAAGAGAGGGCGAAGAACTTTGGTGAGCCGACATTGCGTTGCTCGCTTTATGTGCCGCGCCAAGTTTTCACTGCGTCGGCGCACACTCGTCGCTCGCTCTTTCAAGAAGTGTGGGATTTCAAATGCGCTCGACGGTACTGAAGACGACTGACTGCCTTTAGGAGGAGGCGTCGGACAAGGAGTCTGATGATGGTGATGAGTGATTAAAAGGTTCAATTACGATGCAAATAAATGTTTTTCTTAAGACTTCTCGGTCGTATTTTACGCGGAAAAGTTTCGCGGTCTTTAAATTGTTTCGTGTAATATGCGGACAAAACTTTTTTTTTTTTTTTTCTTTTTCACAGTCCTCAACTCATGCCTCGTATTATACGCGAGTTTTTACGGTATTTCATTTTTAGCCGCTACGGCAGGGAATTTTCACCCACCTCTAACCTTACCACGTTAGGCCCGAGTCCCCTTGCTGCACATCGTCGCATCGAAACTATGAAGTTTCTATAGTTTATAATTAACTCTTCCAGTTGCACCTGATTAAGTTCATATCTAAACTTTTACAACGCAACATCGACAAGGAGCCACCACGGCTTAAATACTTCATCCTCTTTTTGCGAGTACCGACATGTTCAAATACAGCTCCTTTACCCGAACAATCAAAATTTGGAACTCATTACCCGGAATTATCACTATCACTATCGCCTGATGAGTTTTTGAGTGCCGTTGACAGCGGCTGATGTCGACGTTTCTGTTGTTTCATGTTGTGTGCCTTTTATTCTTTTATGTTTGTACGATCACACTTTTCTTTAGTCCCCACCCTGGAATAGCCCCAATGGAGCTGCAATATGCATAAATAAATAAATAAATAAAACACCCCCAAATTCAAAAACATTTTTTTTTTTTCATATTTAATGATTTTTTTAGTCATTTAATTTTAAAGCGAGGAATGTCCGAGCAACAAAGATTTATATGAGGCAGTCATTCCTCAAAATATATCTAATGTCGAAAAATTACCGTTTTCTAGCTAAAGTGATTTAAATCAAATAAATGTGATTAACTCCATTGTTTTTTTTCCTTTGATTACCTGTGTTTTTTTGTGACTAAGTTAAGAGCATTTGAATGTGAATGGCCACAAGAAAGCGAGTGTGAGAACAGCAGCAATCCTGTTTCTTCTTTGGCTAGAGCTATTAAAAAAACAGGCACGAAGAATCTGACAACAATTTCGAAGTATGTAGTGACCACTCACGTTGAACTTGATGTAGTCTAGCCGTGTAGGGGGTCTCCAAGACAGGATCATGCCATGAGTGGTTACTCCATAGGCACGCAGTTGCGTTGGCACATCTACAAAAATAAAAAAGAGAAAAAAAAATTGTTCCGATACTCTTGCGTTCTCGGGAAGACAAGTGCTTCCTCAGTATCTTACGGCAGATACGTCCTACAAGATAAGACTATGAGGGGCAAGTAAATCGAAAGAGACACATTGGTCCTTTGTGAAGTCATGTCATCTGGCAATATGTAGCATGACCGCATGACATCACCCTGTTACATGGCCATCAGGAGGTCACGTGACCTTATATCATGCAGCCTTATGTCATGTGATGTCATGTCACATCGCGGTGCCCCCTGACATATGGTGTCACATGACCTTCGGCCAGGTCGCGTCATGTGACACCATTATGCAACAGTGGCAATTGCTGTTAGAGTCTCGTGATGTCGCAGTGTCACGTAAAAATGATGACATGAGAGTTTCCTCAGTTGGGACTCTGTTCAGTTCAATTTAATAATCCTCAAAGGCACTTCAATGAAGTGCATTGCATTAGGTGCATTACACAAAGTGCATTACAAGAGGAGTTCCAGTGCACTATGAAGTGCATTACATGAGGAATTCCGGCACCACGGTCGGAGACTAACTGTTGTGAACACCACAACATCATCAGGGTGACATCACCATCCAGACTGCGCCCCAGAAGGTGACACAAGACCCCGGCTGACCCGTGGGGGTGACCTTGACGGTGATGACGTCCGAGAGCTTCCCGAGGGAGTCCCGGGTGTATGCAGCCACCTGGATGGCGTACACTGTGTGGCTCTCCAGGCCCGTGATCTCGGCCGACCAGGTGAGCGGCACCATCTTCACCGCCCACTGGTCCAGGTCTTCCACCGCTGTTTGCGCGTACAGCACCTGACAACGCAAGGGGGCATCAGACGCCACTGAGCTGTCAGTACTGCATTTTCTGGACTATGGTCTGCATCCGATCTGCACCCGGCACCTGCACCTTGTGCCTATTCCACACTTCAAAAAACTCTCATACACAGCATACTTTGCTAAATTCCTGCTTTAATTATTAGCTTTAAGAAAAGTTAGTACCATACATAAATCATTGCTAACATACTCTGTCGTTCACAATCCTTGCATTGTCCACACCTGCGGGTAGTCTGCACCACATAAAATTACAACCTTTAAATGTGTATAGTCCATGGATTGTAGTTCAGAAACTATGGTGAGTACGATAGTCTAGGGTAGGTTCCGCAGGGCTGTCGAAGCTACTTGTGCGAGCGAGACGAAATGCAAAGACACGTGCTGGAGCAACTTGTGGTGCAGGGGCAGTGGCAACGTGGAAGCTAAGCTAGCTTTGTAAACGTAGCATAAATTACCACAGCGCTCATCACAAAATCTTGATCCGACGGATGAAGTTGTTATAAGCAGAGTGTGTTGGCTTGACTCACTTTTCCAATCTCCCGTGGCTCTTTTGAACCTTTTGAGTGATATCACATCACATAACACGGCCATATGATATGGCCATGTGGCTACTCCCACGCTTCCCACCCTTGGCATAGCGTAGTAACTCTCCCTTCACAAGTCTCAACCTTTGCACAGTGGTAGAGCGTCAGGCTCGGAATCTTGGGTTCCGGGGTTCGATTCTCGTTGGCAAACATTAGGAAGTAACAAACAAAAAAAGAGGATGCAAGCAAGCTGCCAAAGGTTAAGCATAGTGACTTGACTTGAGACTAGGATTTTTGAAAACACGAAACCTTTGTCTCAGCTAAAGTCACCATTATCAGAATTCCAATCTTCCTCCTCACTAACGTGTTCTTTCGTTTCCACCAAATTCCGTGTCACACGTTACACGGCGGTTCTTTGTGGCACGCCTTCACGGTTTCCTCCCAATTTCAAGATCTTGAAACATATTCTACATTACAACTTGGGAACTGTATTCCTCGGCTGCAATTCACACGACGCAAGAGATACGGTTCAGAGTGCGCCGCCACCGACCTGGTAGCCCAGGATGTCTCCGAAGTAGGGCATTTCGTCCCACCAGACCTCCACGGACTGGTCCGAGGTGGCCACCGCCTGCACGTTGGTCGGGGCGGACGGAATGTCACCGGGCGTGCTGGCCGTCAGGTTCTGACTCCAGGGTCCGCACCCCTTGGCCGTGCAGGCGCGGACTCGCATCGTGTAGTCCGTCTTCTCGCTCAGCGAGCTGCAAGACGATAAGCATTGTGTCATCTAACGGGAAGGAGTCCTGACTGTTGCTTCCCAAATGGCTAACTTTAGAACTATGCCCACACGGGCGGCAACCACAACACTCGGCGCTCGACCGACGCAGCCGAACACTACGTCGGCGTTCCGCCGGGGCACGCGTAAACGATGCAGCGTGCACCGTGCACGCGTCCAGCACCTGCTGGGCACGAAGGCCGAAAGGGGTCAATCTCTCATCCTCCGACGACGTCTTTCAACCGAGATCCGGCTTGTTGCGTCCCGCCAACGTCATTTTGTTTATTGTCGACACTTCCTATATTACACCGCACCCCGCATCATCCAGGAAGACGACGAAAAGAACCAAATCCAAAAGCCTTAAATCTTAACATGATAGAATATCATGCTAAGATTTATGTGTCGGCCTGGCCAGCTAAAAGGTAATAATTACTTCCCCTTCTCACTTGTGTGCAACCTTTTGTTAGCATCGATTGCACAGCAGGAATGATCCCCTCAAACACAGAACTAGCTGTGCAGTTGTGTTTAGAAACAACAGACACAACAAGACAATGATTGGTGGAGGACAGCACAAACTACTGGCAATGATTATTTTATGTATGGAATTTCACTGAATTAATGTCACAATACAATAATTTTGAGCACCTAAATTTATGCTTTCCTCAAGTTCAAGAGGTTGTAATAAAACTATAATTCTTAATGTAGATAAAATACAAAGTATTTGCTGTTGGATCATGAAATGTCAATCACATTTTACGTGCAGAACTTCATAACGAAAATTGACATAAGAATGATAAGCATGCCTTCTTAAAAATCCCGCAGACCTCATCAAGGTTCTTTTCAAGCTTCCATCCTTTGCTTCTGCTACATTGGTGCAAATTTACTCCCACCTATACAAAAGTGATAACTAGATAAAGAGGTTGGCATGAAAAAATTTCAAAGCCTCCTTGCTAAATATGGAATAGGAAGAAGATATCGCCAGAATATCGCGGTCTATCACATATACTAGCCGAAGTTTCATTCTCAAATTTGAAATTTTCAAACGTCCTGCTCTGGAGGACTGCTTTCCCCTTAGCATATGGATGTGCTGCGGTGAAGCAACAGGCGCAAAATCGCTATGCCTGTTTTGCGGTTATCCCTTCGCTGTGGTAAACCCGTGAATGGTGCGAAGCGCAGTCAACGAAAATAACTAACCTGCCAGAATGGATAGCGAACACGAGGAATACTACGACACTTTCGAGTACTGTTCGCGTTTGATACGAGATCAAATCAAATAGTACGTTATCTGAGGTGACAACCGGAAGGTCTGAACACTCGCACAAGCCTTCCGTAACAATTCGGCCATGTGGCCGGGCCCGAGCCATTATATGTTCAGTGTTATTAATGCCAATTTACGTTACGGCACAATGTTGGCCCACCATTTTTCACTAATCGGTAAAATGTCGCAGGATGTAGCGGGGTCTGCACCCTGGTGCAGTTCGGTGCAAATGGCGCAGCAATCGCATCACCGAGAGACCGACGCATTCTTCGGTCACGAGGGTCTCCCCGGTTTTGCTACGCCACAGTGACTAAAACGCGTCTCCGATCGGCGCGTTTGGCGTCTTATTTCGCCCACGCATCAAAAGCGGTCTCGAAGTGGCAACGGACAACATAAAAAAGGCTGGAGTGTCACGAAGTCCGACGTCGCGATCCTGGCAGTTGGGCGTACAAGTTCTACAAACAAGCCCGAGAGAATGTGAGCGTTGACGTCGTTGCGGCGTCCGAATGCCTGGCTGCCGAAGCTTCCGTGAAGGGACCTGCGACAGAATAGGCATGTGCCACACCCACCACTGCTACAGAAACACCACAGAGACAGCATGACACTAATACGACATCGTGGGGTGAAAGTCGAGGGACCCCACTTTAGGACGCGGCAAACGCAGCGGCGGAGACGCGTTCCAGTCACCACAGTTAACGTGGCCGTACTCTCGTCGGGTTCGAGCCCGGCGCAACCGAGGAGGCTGGAGCACCGACCTGAACACCATGCGGGTACGGGAGGTGTTCCGGTCCTCGGCGCTGAACTCCGAGGACTTCTTTCGGAACTGGACGCTGTAATGGGTGATGTGTCCGTTGCGGTGCATGGCCGCCGGGGCCTCCCAGCTGAACGCCACTGTGTTGGGGCTCTGCAGCCGGAATGTCACGTTCTGCGGCGGCGACGTCGGTTCTGGGAGGATGGAGAAGAGGGGCGCGTTGACTAACCCAAGTTCGATATTGTCGGCCTAAACATCGATGCCGTGGTGACCCACCTTTAGCGGCTTCGGCAAGAGTGTCTAGACTTCCGGAGTACCCTTACGGGTTCCTCAATTAGCCAAAGGGGGGGGGGGGGGGGAAGAGAATCGGTGACTCACCTCCTTCAGGCGTGCTCACAAAGGTGATGGCCTCCTGACCCCAACCTAGAAGATTCCTTCCGGAAAGCCGGAACTCATAGCGGGCCCCTCGTGCTGCATAGAGAAAGAAAGGAACATAAGCTCGTGACAAGAAAAGCTTAATTGAACAAGGAGTTCGTTGGGTCCCGAAATACAAGACTCTACGAAGAGTTGCAAAATAATACTTGCGGTACTGACAACCGTGATAACCCTTCAAATGTTGCCAGCGACTGCTGATCCCAGAATTAACCGCAATTCAGTAATGTCGGACACTCGGGAGGACTGGTGCATTTCAATTGCGAGACCCTCTCTCATAACATTATCATACACCAATTCCTTTTCATGAACGATAGCAAACTTTATCTTCAAACGACCCCCCCTTCCCCTTCAAGAAAGAAGAATGAAGCATCTGGGTAAGAACGTACCCACAAGTTAAAACTCGCTACTCTCTCGCCCCGAGATTAAAAAAGGGTGCGCCAAGATGGCGGCCTGCTTGCCCACCCAGCTTCTCGACGGTCAGGTGTTGCTCCATGGGGCCCAGCTCTTGCTCCTCCAGGGCGCCTCCGTCCATGCGGCCGTAGCGCAGTCGGTACTGGAGCAGCTCCCCGTACGTGTGGTTGGGCCTCGACCAGTGGAGCTCCACCCGCAGTCGCTGGTCTTCCGTGTGGATGCGAGCCGTGAGCTCCGGCCGCGTCGGAACTGCGCCCGCACGTCAGCCAAAAGGGCGGCAGAGCCTCAGTACAGTCCAGTATGCATGGACGGACGTGTAATTTTGTGGTTCCTTAATACACCAGACATTAACCAAGAGCAGATTTGCATTTTTCTCTATGGTTCTTAATACACCAAACGTACCCAGGAGCACATTTGCGCACTTCTCTATCTCCTCTCATTTGTGTGAAAGTTCCTATTATTGAATGTTCAGCTGGTTCTTCCCAATGTATAACCAAATAGCTCAGCTTATCCTTGTCCCAATTACCAAGAGGGCCAACTTTTGAGAGCCTAGCCTAAAATGAATAAAAATGAGTGTCGACAGCTAGCCATGATGAAGGTGCGGAAAGAAGTTTCAGCTCTCGTACATTAACCGTGAAAGGAATTAAGACAGTTCCTATATCAGAGACAGACTAACATTGCTTAGTCGATTTATTGTTGGTAAAACAATACAACGTTCATCTTTTTTCTTTTGCCACATGCCAAGCAGAATGTCTGGAGAGTGCAATTGTGAAAAAGATTTTATAAGAAGCTTTTTCTTTTGATAACGACATTGTTTAGAAAAATCAAGCGAGTTTCACGCTTTCTGTGTGCTCGACTAATTCTTAATGCTTTGCATGAAAGATAACAATAAAGTAAAAGTAACAATTCCACAGCAGGATTCCTCATAAAATTTGAGTCAGGAAAAATAAAAAATAAATCTTTCCTTTAGTCCTATTGAGGAACAATAAAAAGACAAAAATGAAATTTATACAGAAAATTGAAACGGAGAAAAATGCATTCAGTGCCCATGCCTCTGTCTTTTATATACTACCGAGGCACTGAAAATAACCGATAGCAAGTTAACTAAGCAGCATTTATGAATGAAACTTTGTGGAAATACTCTTCATTACACGGGCGTGCTTAACCGCAGCTATAAGACTCTTCTAGCTGCAGTTAACTCTTGGACAACGTTCTGTGGCTATGGGTGCACGTGCTGTGCATGCACACTCTTCACTTCTGAAATAGTGGCTGTCCGAGAGTATAGTGCGGTGACTGGGGTGAAGTGTAACAGCAGTCAAGGGTGACTTAATTGCGGCTAAGGGTGCCCGCGTAATGAGGGTATAAAAGGTTTCGAGGCACGTGGCCGTAAGAAGTCGCGAGTGATTAAACCAGCCTTTCACGAAAATAAACGTACAGTTCCAATTAGAAACTTGCCGAGCGTCGTCCAAAACCCCTATATCGGTCAATTTTAGGACGACCAAAAGAACGCGGGAAGTGCGGCGATACAACAAAGTTACCGCTCGTGCAGCAGGCTCGAGGCCAACAACGCGAAAACGAGAACGACATTCTCGTCGTTTGTGGTCCTCGCGCGTTGCGGAGCGGGGCAGGGCGCGGCACCACCCACCTCCACCGTGGGTATGGGCCGTCTTGGGCGGGCTGCGGTTGCCGTCCCCCTTGCGGGTTACGGCGGCCACCTGTACGGAGTACTTCGTGTCGGGCTGGAGCCCCGTCACGTTGCGCTCCTCCGCGTTCTCGTCCGCCACGTCGTAGCGCAGCGCGTCATTGATCAGGTCCCCGTGCCGGTTCATCTCCTGCACGTGGATCTGGTAGCCCCGAATCAAGCCGTTGCGGTCCCGGTTCGAGGGGGGCTTCCACGAGACCGTCAGGGCCGTGCTGTTCAGTGCGGCCACCTTCACCAGGCGTGGCTCTCCAGGAACTGTTGTCAAAAGCAGAGCGTTAGCCCCGCCCCGTTTACCCTCTTCCCGGTAACGGCGCGTACCAAGAATGCAAATACTTTACTGGGGCGGTCACATTTGACTCCGCTCGTTCGCGTTAGATGGCGCGCCAAGTCCTTTCCCGTGCTCCGTTCACCCCTAAGCCAACGGCGCAGTGGGGGCTACGTGCTCAAAGTGACGGTCGCATGTATGTGTTTGGCAGTGCCATCATGCCCTCGCCAACACCCACGTGTAAGGAAGCGGGGTCGGGTGAGGGAGGAGAGAAGGTTTGTCGGCCTGGTGGGTGCCTGGCACCCACCACGCCGTCTGCTTTGTAGGTGAACCAAGTTTAGTTCTCCGGGCATCTCGCATCCGAAAGAACGCGAGAGTGCTGCGAGGTCCGTGCCGTTGCGCAGCCATGTAGAGCTAAGGATGAGGTTTCTGCTCATGTACCAAAACACTCGCCTGGAACCACCAGATAAGGTATGCTTCGAAGTGACAACACTCGAGGAATAGGGTATGAGCGTAGCAACTATTAAGTGATTCTGGGGAGATGCCTGAGACGGCTGTCTCGGCTGGCACTCGAGATGCCCACGACGCAAGACGGCAGCAGCCACCCCTCCCAATTCGAATGGAAAAGCCCAGAAACACAGTGCACCCGGCCGTTTCAACTGCGCAAAACCTGCCCGCACCGAGGCCGTTAGATTTTCGCGGAGTGAAATGTATTGCCCTAGTAAAGTATTTGGGTCAAGTATAGAAACGAGAGAATGGTAGCTTTGTCTCACAAGGAATGGCTGCGAATGATGTAAGAGGCAATGTCCTATTCATCTTTACGTGTTTTAGATTTATTAGACTGCATAAAACCGTTCCTTCATTAAGCACATTTGGTGGATTCAGCCATATTTGTACTACAATGGCTTTAGCCTATGTATTGTGCATGACCACATAACTGAAAAAAGGTGCCCTTGATGCACGAGCACCTGTACATCGAAAGCACCTTTTCGGGCAATGACTTAATGCAGGCACACACATTTGACCACAGATTTTACTTCCAAGTTAAAAACAGTGCAATGCTTCGTATGCTTGGATATTGAGGAAATCTTAGAGCACTGCGAAGGTTCAAATAAAATTGCTACGCACTGCATGATCCAAGTTTCAAGCGGATTCTACAGTACTTCAGCACTAAAAGTTTCTTTGCTAGGTCGTACCAGTACGTCTTCTACTCTGATGAATAAAACACAATTGGGAATGTGCCTCGGCAACAATCAAAATGCAGCCTATGTAGGGAAGAGGTAAAACTATACAGTAGGTTAGGTCACAAAGGATAGAGTTACAACTATAAATAAAATGGTTTCTGTCCAAGTGCCATAAACAACTTGGGAGATGTCACATTCTTTGCTACGTGCAATTCTCCATTACAAAACCATGCCACGTTAAATGAATTCCTAAAGAAAGTTCCATATGTCGGACTACGTGATTTTACCTCTAGAAAACGTGTGAGCAACTAATACATTTTTTAAAGAGAAAGTTATCCTAGTTGCAAGTACAACCCTATAAACCATCACACTTTAAGACTTTGATAAAGACAAGAAAAGAATCCGAGTCGTCGGGTGACGATAGCAGAAAGCAAGACAGGTACAGCGACATTGATGGCCACTGGGTTAGTTTGAGTGGCACTTAGGTCATAGTATGTACAGAGTAAGCGAGGGAGAGAGAGAAAGAAAAGAGCGAGAAGGACAGAGAGAACCGGTACCGAGAGCAGCAGCGTGTGTATACAGACCCGGGTACGTACATACAGAGGCCAGCCCTTCAGGCACGTTTCAGACGCAGTAGAGACAGGTCAGACAGCGCATTCTCATTGAGAGAAAGACAAGAGAGATACACATGCCCCCAGATGTAGAGAGAGAAGAAAACAAAGTAAACAACGGACAGAAATGGCAGTTGTCAACAGAGAGGCACATGCAAATTAGCGTCTGGTACCAACAAACCCCCAGTGAATCATGGACCAGTGGACTAGTGGCAGTAAAATGGCCTGCCACTTTATTGAACTGTCATAAAACTTGAAACTGAGGCAGTAAAAATTAACAAGTGTTTGTCACCCTGCGAGTTGTTCTCTCCGCATTTTTAGCTGCAGTCAAATAAAAAAAACACTGATTTGATTGATGATCGCGAAGAGAGAGAATGTGCAACCAAAAAGGTTGCAAAGCAATGTGAGAATTTTTTATTTGATGTTTGAGCGATTTTTAACAACTCAATTGTGAAAAAGGCTGTCATGAGCATACTTTCTGGCCATCCAGACACACCGGGGATTCGCCGTGAAACCATAGAAAGATAAGAAACAGTCGCTACACCAGCACTGATCCAGCATCCAAGAGCACATTCTACATCTTCAGCTTCTGGAGGCTATGCACGTATATCTGCAAATCGGCTCTGTGTATGGCTGTGTCAAGTGTCTTCAAAATTCAAAATCTCGTGTCAAGATCGTGTCAAGGTGATGTCAAGCTCAAACCACAGTAGGACACACTTCAATGTGCTTGGCCCAATAAAAAAAAAAAAGAAAAAAGTCCAAAACAGTTTGTTGAAGGCAGTGCCAGGGCCACAAAGTATGCCGCCCCCAAAAGTGCACAACACGCTGCATTGCAACCTTCGTCGGCAAAAAAATAAAAGAGACAGTTCCCCTGTCCACGGTTGCCAAATCAATTAGCTGGCGCACGGCTGCTTTCCGCAAATCATGTGTCACAAAAAGAAAACTTGTTTGGGAACAAGATGGCAGCAGTTGTACAAAAATGCACGACAATCGCGCCATTGTCATGAGACCAAAAAAAAAAAATGCAGTGAAAATGTTTGCTCTACTGTGTTAGGTCAGTGCTGCAACAATGCCAAGACCCGTTCACAAAAAGAAGAAAAAAAATGGGGAAAAGGGAGGAAAAAGACGACAGCCTCAAGAAAGTCGGCCAGTAAAAACTGCGGAAGAAGAGGATGTAGAAGGAAGTACAAAAACAAAAAAAAGGTTAAAGGAAAAAGAAAAGAAAAAATGGGGCAAACCTTCCAAAAATTGCCCTGTGGAGCCTTTAGAGTGTTGCTCCTCATTTGTTAAGGTGCTGGAAAAAAAAGTGAGTGAGAGGAGGAAACCTGTTGTTGCCAGCTGCGCTACAGAGGGAAAGGGGTAACAACCACAGAGAACATGCTCACGGGTGCAACGAGCAGACACGCATAACCATGCAACGAACGACGCACGCGGCGAGGGAGCCACCACATCCAGAGAGAATGGCTGACCGGTCACGGCACGGCTTGCGAAGCAGCTGCAAGATTCTCGCCAATTTTAAGAAGTCGTGTTCAGGATTTGAATTAGCCTTATCTGTTTCGTATTCCTATTGCTATGCACACACTGAGCCAAAGTCAGAGAAGCAGGTCTAAGTTGGCTCGAGAAAAATCGTAAGAGCAGTTCACTATCATACTTTTACAATGAAACACTGCTGGATATGTTGCAGTATACTAGTAATAATGTGGGGCTGCTGAAGTTTCCGATGACTGTTCGGCAGCAAGCGATGCTACAACTGGGCGGGGGTCGCTTCCACCCCTAGTTCCGACATTAGTGATGCCGTGAGGCCAGAGGACAAAATTAAAATGGGAGTAAGCAAGTCGGTCAATGACGTATACAACAGCTTAAGTATCAGGCAACGACCTGTTCTTACGGATTACAGCGGTACTGCAATGTTAAATGGTTGCACGAATTTCAGAGCAGCTAAGCAAAGACGTTACCGCGGACGCTGCCACCCACCCACGTACTGGCTTTGCAGCAGACTGCTTCGAAGCAGTGCCGCGACGCTGGAGGCCAAGCCGATCCGGAGCCATAGCCGAAGAGCAGCAGCAGACGCAGCAGCAAGGGAAAGGGCAACACAGAGGAGCTGGAGCAGGAGGAGGAGGAGGAGGAGGAAAGGAAGGAGAAGACTCGACACCACGGAGAGGGTACGCGTGAAACTCGGCCAGAGGCATTGACGGGCTACCGTTTGCCGGTATTACCCACGCTTGTTACCCGAGTTAGCAGATTTCTAAATCACATTCAACGTCTTTGGAGCAATGGAAAAGGGAGAGCTGCCCGTCCAGGTTTGTTCCCAGAATTTTACAAATCCTCAATTTCTTATGGGCATTGGGGACTATACATATCATTTTAGTGGTTTCTCCAACCAAGATCTGGAAGACGGAATCTCGGTCCCTAATAATTAACTAGTTACCATCATTAACCGGTAATAATTCATTAGCGATACTCTCCACATTCAGCAAGATGTAGAGGCCGATTCACACACTTGCGACTGCTTACGAGAGAACCCACTGGCACCTTCTAACGGGTGGAACACTTGGCGTTTCCATATATTCCCATTTTTTTTTTTGCGCATCATTCCTTCTTTTTTTGACTTCAAGACTAATGTTATAGGTGATCATTTCTCACAAACAGCACATACATTTGATCTTGAAAATACTGCAAAACCTTCATTACAGTGAAATGCAGTTCAATGGTCACCTCCTAGAGAGAGCTCGCATGTCCTCTCGTCGCAAGAGCTCGCAACAACTCGGTCCTAAGCAAACGCAAGTGCGCAAACGTTTCCTCATGCGTCTGCTCGTTACGAAACCCGCCCTCAAATAAGTGAGCTTTGGAGCCCGGAAACTTCGTCCCGCGTTCCCTCTCCGCGGTGTCCGAGAAGCTGCGCCGGTGCCGGGAGGTGGAAGGGGGTGGGCGGGGCACACGTACCGTCCTCGTCGGTGCGGACCAGCACCTGAGGGGACGAGGGGCCGTCTCCGACGGCCGTTCCCGCGAGCACCCAGACCCGGTACTCGGTCCACTTGTCCAGCCCCGTGATCGTGTGCGAGAGGTCGGCGGGGCCCTTGAGCGCCTCGTAGGGGGCGCCGCCGGGGGGCGCGTCCGACCGCAGGTACTTCACCTTATAGTAGGTGATGGCCCCGTTGTGCTGCTCGCGCGGGGGCGGGTCCCAGCTCACCCGCAGGGAGCGCGAGTCCAGCGCGTGCGCTCGCACCTGCTGCGGGGGCGCGCCCGGAACTGCGAGGCCGGCCCGGGACAAAATGGAGGAGCGTGGAGGGGAGAGGGGGAGTGCAAGACTCGCGAGGGGGAGGAAGGGACGTGAGCCTACGCTACATGTGCCAGAGGCTGTCCTTCCCTACTATATCCAATATAGTTCGACTTCCTTATGTATAGGGTTCGGTGTTTTTGGTTTAAGCCCCCCTTCCCTAAAAGAAAAAGTATGCCAAGTTTGTCCATGAGCAGTTTTAACTGTAAAACAAGCAGTATCCAGAGCAATGTGGCACACCTAGGCCGTGTTCCAAAATTTACTCAATCTTACTCCCGAGTAGTACTGTGCGTATATTCGAATTTTCGAATAGTCATTTCGAATAATACGCTACTCGATATTCGCTTCGAGATGAACTCTGATATTTGTATTCTTCGAATTGTTGACGGCGACAGGTTAGCCCCGTTAAACGCACTTCTGACCGAGCACCAGTGCACTGCGAACCTGCGAAACTCGCTTCCGTGGGTGTTGCTTTTCCGCAGTGCGCTGGTGCTCGGAAAGAAGCATGCTCAACGGGGACAACCCGCCATGATCAAGTTCAACACTTGAAACATACAAATATTGCAGTCACGTTCTAGAAACTCAAGTCCACTTTCAAAGCGAGATGGCGCACGTGCGTGCAAGGTTTGTGTAAGAAGCGAAAAGTTTGTGAATATTGATATCTACACTACAGTGAAAGGTCCAGAATTAAACTGTAGCTATTATGCGAGAGATGTCCTGACAACCTATGTTCACCATTCACGATCGTCTCCTGTTTAGTCAAATTCTGGATTTAATAAAGAATATTTGAAAACAGCAAGACGACTGATAAATCCCCTTGATTAGGTATAGCTGGGCATCTCAATAGGCTTATTTTTATGTCGAATGCATCGTTTGCTTGCCATTCCCATGTAGGTAACGAAATTTCTGAGGTTACAGTTCATACGTATAGTTGGATTAAGATTAACTTAGCTTAGATATTGACAAGTGGAAGTTTGGGAACAATGTTTACAAGTTCAGATGGGTTTTCATTCAGGCACGGTGCAATAGCGAAAAGGTTGGAGAAACTCTTCAACATTCGATTTGAAAATATTCGTCCAAAACCAGTATTCGCTTAAAATTCGCTTCGAACTCAAAATCCACTGTTCGGAGATGCCTACTCCAGAGTAGGGGTTTTGTACCTTGGCATTCTAAAACCCACCCCCATCCAGCGTTTTTCAATCTGTGTTGTCAGGTGACACAACCCACTGGAGTAACTCGGGTTCATTCGGGCAAGATTTAGAACACAGTCTTAGTGAACCATACTGCTTTACATTTTAGGCCCAATCGCTCATAGTTTCCGTATTGTCACTCTCTTAAATGGTGGTTGTGGTACTTCCTGTGACCGCACCTACCCTGAACATTGCCATTTTTAAACTGGCTTAAACTACAGTAATTGCTCAGTACTGACCAAAACAAAAATGGAAGGACCACATGGTCTTGAGTTGAATAAATATATTATTCATACCAGCCGCCGCCCCCCCCCCCCCCCCCCCTTCCCCACACAGCAAGCTTTTATTCTAGTCACAATGACAAAAAGAAATTCTTTTTAGATAAAATTTAAAAGTATGACGAATTCGAAAAAGATTAAAACCAAACACACCGAACCTATGTAGTGCCCTCACACCCAGATACTAAATTAGCCAGCACATCGAAAAATAAACAAAGACAGTGTGTCACATTTCTAATAATGTAGCGTTTCAGTGATTTGCAAGAACTACCCATGCAACCACGAGCAGAGTAATCAAGGTCACAGGCCACTAGAGAAACCAAGATAGCCTTGTCACATTTTTTTATACCACATATCTCATAGACTACAAATAGGCTTTCCAAATTTCACTCTATTGCTGGCACCAGAATGCCATTCCCAAGAAAATCGCTTTCTCGAGTCACAAGAAATATTTTCTATGCTCACCAAAAGCATGCACTGTTAGAAATGTGACACAGTGCGCCCATGCTGACAAGGGTCTTACCCCAGAGACACCAACAAAACTAGGTCCCCAACTGACGCAAGTGGCGTTGGCTCAGGGTGACTGGGCATCTCAAGGAAGGTGAAAGGCCGTTACACCATTCATGTGGGCTTCAAAACACAGGGAGCTGAAGAAAGGAATCACTAGTGGCTACCCTCAGGTGCAGGAGCGGTAACTTCATGGTGACTTAGTGAAGCGTGGCTCCTTCGAAGAGCCAAAGGAAACAAAAGAGGGGCCTCAAATAGTGAGCAAAGCGTGAAATCCCTGGTAATAGAGGGTTGTAATAAAAAGTCATCATCGAGCTTCTAGAAAACCGAAGCCAGGAAACCATAAAAAAGAAATAAATCAGTGCAATAGAAAGGAACACTTATGCGGCAGAGCATCTTAGATGTTTGATGCTTGCACTACAAAGGCGAGTTTACCTCTCCCTGCTATAAAAAACATTCCTTCGAATTCTTTACTCATGCTCTTGGCCTCTAAGGTGTTTTATGGGTGCACCTTAACCAAGGATCACTAGAGCTGGTGCAAAGCAAGGTACCACTACCCCAAACAAAACATGTAAGGCCACTGACATTATCAGAACAGCAGGGAGAAGCTTCAGTTATCGTGCCTCCAGCACGAGTTTCCTGTCTTCAACAATACTTCGGCGTCCTGCGAGCCGCAAGCGGGCGTGCGCAGCCGAAGCACGGTGGAAGGCAACAGGTGTGTGCTGGATTTCGTCTTGTCAGTAACTACGGTAAAGGTACCAAAAATGCTGGAAATAAACTTCAAATCAAACAAAAGGGCTATGCAAAAGTGATGCCCAGAAAAGCAACGGCACAAAATCAGTGGCAAAAGCAAACAACTCAAAAACCTCTAATCAGAATGCTCAATGTCAGTCATGCACTGCATTTGAAAAAGCAGCAGTAAAAAAAGGCAGGCAGGCAGAGTTAACAAAACCCACTCACCATACAAAAACACATTCAATTTAAATCAGTTCCATAAAGACTGAGGACTCCAAGACACCCTAAGGCATGGAGTTGTGCACAACAGTATGTCTACAGAACACCAGGACAACTAGTCACATTAACTTCTAAAGGAATCTGAAGCTGAAAGTGAGGCTCAATCGAAACAGCTGGAATCTATGGCAGCTAAAAATGCTGTTATGAATCCTGCTGCAGAATTAGCCGAGCGTTTTCCCAAAAATTTCTTAATGTCACGGACCTTAAATGAGCTAACCAATTCTACTAAATTTGGTTTCATTTGAGCGAGAACGAGAAAAACTAATTTTCAAGAAAATCCAGACGCTTTTCTCTTTTACCTTTCAAAGTAGCTAGAAATGAAGGAGTACCATGTGATATAACCTGAGAACAGAGAATGCTCAAAAATAAAATTTGACTGGATGATTTCTTTTTAATTAAAAGAATCGTCTTTTATATGCAAAGTGTTTACACTCTCCCTTTAACTCCTTCTTTTCCTTCTCATGCAAACAATTGGGGTTTCAAAAGAAATGCTCCCGGGAAAAGAGTCTCCAGGAAAAAATGTCTCCGGAAAAAAAGAACCCAGGCAAAACGTTTACAGAAAAAAAGGCCCCAGGTGGAAAGTAAAGAAAAATGTCCCCAAGCCCTATTGAAAATCCATTTACATTTCAGGATTTCTGAATATTCTGACGTACCCATCAAAGATGTTTGATGTGTTTGAGATGTCCCTTAAAGTTTTCTAAAAGGCTTGACGTACCCTTTAAGAATTCCTAAAGGATGTAAGAGACCCGTCACAACTTTTTGAAAGGCCTGTGGGGTCTGTCCCAATCCTATCCGTGAAACCACGCCACCCATAAAAATTGTTTTAATGGGTTTGTGGTAGAGATCACGTGACCCCTCAGGACATATGCGTCGGGGAAGCCACTTACCGTATTTACTCGCAGAATGAACGCACTTTTTTTCCGAAAAATCGATGCAAAGTTAGGGGGGGCGTTCATTACGCGAAGTAAAATTTTTGCGTCGTTTATTTACTCGCATAATGAACGGACCTTTTATCCTGAAAAATCGAAGTAACTTCTTAGCTCTCTGCGCGTGGCGCCCGACCCCTTAACCAAACTAAGCTGTGCAAAAAAAAAAATCCTCTTTGTTTTATTTTTTTAGTTCCTTGGGTTTTTTTTCCGCCTTTGGCAAGCTGTTTTCTTTGCTTAGGCGTTGCTTAGGCGAGGGCTCTCCACTTATCTTTCTTATCTCCTTGCGCGCGGCGCTCGACCCCCCGTAACCAAACTGCGGTGTGCAAAAAAAATAAAAAAAAGCTCCTCTTTTCCTTGTTGTTTTTCTCGGTTCCGTGGCTTTTTTTTTTTTTTCTCTTTTTGCCGCTTTTCCCAAGCTGTTTCGTTTGCTTGAAGGGCTTCTCCGCTCCTTGTTTGTTACCTCCTTGCGCGCGGTGCGCGACACCCGGTAACCAAACTGAACTGTAAAAAAAGAAAAAGAAAAAAAAAAAAGCTCCTTTTTGTTTTTTCTTAGTTCCGTGGGTTTCTTTCCTTTCTTTTTGCCTCCTTTCGCAAGCTGTTTCGTTCGCTTAGAGCGCTTCTCCGCTTCTCTTTCTTACCTCCTTGCACGCGGCGGCGCGCGAACCCAAAGTCCAGACTGCGCTGTGCAAACAAAATAAAAGCTCCTCTCGCATGTTTTTTTTTCTTGCTTCCGTTGGATCTTTGCTAATTTTTTTAACGCCTTTCCCAAGGCGTTTTGTTCGACCACGCTGCCCATGCATGCGACCTCGCTGCACCAGGATGGAAAAGTACGTTCATTTCGCACGCGTGGGAGGAGGGGGTCAAAATTTTGACGTCCTAGTTGGGGGTGCGTTTATTACGCGAGTGAAAAAAAAAGTCACAATTTTGAGAGCCGACTTGGGGGATGCAATCATTACGCGAGTGCGTTCATTGTGCGAGTAAATACGGTAATCATTTTTGGACCAAGCTGCCATGATGAGTTTTGGAAATTGAGGATATGTTTGTGTGTGTGTGT